TGGGCTATTATGTATTGATTGACACGAGTGTTTGTGGGACACTGCTGTGCGCAATTGGCAGCTTCGTTTCGCCCGCAAAACACACAGTCAATCCGCTTGACAGTATATCCTGTGAAGGTCTTTGAGACGTCTCAACGACGAGATAAGGCTCTATATCAAATGCAAGGATTATTATTATTATTGGTGGGGAGGGGGTGAAGGGGAGCAGGGAAGCAGTTTGGTGTGGAGAAAGAGAGAGGGAAATAATTGTTGAGTGGAGGCAAAATCGAGCACTTTTTCCATCTTTGCAAAGAAACGTTGTGCACTCTCTCACACACACAAGCGCGCACACACACACACACACAACCACACACACACACACACACGCGGGCGCACATACACACACACACACACACACACAGAAAAATAGCCAAAGCAGGAGTTACCCCAGGCCATGCACAGCCCAGTGGCTGCCTCAATCCTGTTATTGGCAGAGGCCCTGGAACAGGTTGCCTCGTCCTCCAGTCAGGGGACCAAAAGAGGGGAAAAGCGAGAGAGAGAGAAAAGTTTGGTTTATTTTAAAACCAAAAGCCTTTCGCCTTGACGGGAAACGGCCAGCAGTGATTGAGCTGCGCACTCCTCGGGAATTGTGCGCCGCGGTGTCCGTCCACATTAAACGGCTTATCCGTTGCTTGGCGTTCGATGATCCGTTTAACGTGCAAGAGGCAGGCAGGCGACTGAAGAGTTAATCTTTGTGGGTTTGTGCAGAGATAGGAGAAGCCCTTTGAGGGCTCCTACCTCAGGCTGTGAACACATTGGTTAATGTTGAGGGCGGTTCTGTTGTTGAGTTGGTTTCCTGTTCTGGATCAGTTAGGATTGGAGTGCCTAACTGGCATTTAATCACTTTCCCTGGGGTACAATCAAGACGGAAAGCCTCGAATGGAAGCAAAAGGGTGCGTGCGAGACTGCACCACCCCTTTCTTTGCCGTTCGAACACAGCGATCCGTTGATGTGCGGACAGGCAGATCAGCAGGCGCCGCGGCTCAGCAAAGGGTCCACGTTGTTTGTCCTGCAGCCAGACTGACCCAGCGTCACATGATTGTGGATTTTTTTTCCTGACACTAGTGACTCCCAAGTGTGTGTCCGTCCATCATTCCATCGGTGGAATAAATCAGCCCAGGCGTCACAACTGCTCCCTCGCTCCCTTTTTCTCTTGCTCAAAACTGAATCCTGGCAATAAACGTCTTTGGAGTTTTTTTTTTTTTTTTACCTTTTTTTCCCCCCTTTTCCTCCCTCCCTCTCTCTCCGCTAAGGCTTTTCAGACCTGGAGTTTTTCCCACTTTCACTCCGGGTTCGTCATCCTAAACATTCGATGACACTGAGGTCCCGTGAAAGGTTCTTGTGGTGCTATTCCCCCCCCTCCCCAACACACACACACACACACACACACACCCCCCAAGTTAAAATTGACCATTTAGTTTACAGTTGTTTGTGGGACATTGTTGTTGGCACATTGGCTGCCGTGTTCGCCTACAAAAACGCAGTCACTACAGTTCACAGTAAAATCCAGCCAAGTGCTTTGAGACGAATCAAATGCAAAGATTATTAGTAATAATTTTATGAATATTTATCACTATTGGAAACAGAAGGGAGTTTCTTTCTGTGTCATTGTGGGCTCTTGTCCTGGGGAAAATGGCAAAGTGAGAAATGTTCCGTAATGGGGTTGGGGTAGGGGGGGCGGTGGGGGGAGAGGTGGGAATGGGAATGGGAAGGTTGTGGGGGAGGTGGGGTGGGTGTGTGAGGAAGGTCTTTCCATCTGGAACACGTTTAAACCCCTCGGCCCTGTTGTTTACCTTCAAAATGTCATGAAAACCTGCCCTGAAACACCTATGAATGAATCCCTTTGACTGACTTTGACCAACATCCTTTAAATCTCACATTTATATCCCTGCACTGTGTGTCCCATCACTCCAGTACATTTGTCAAGCTCTCTGCTTCTGGGAATCCATGGTGGTGTAAAAGAGAAGAGTTTCTCTCACGGCTCCACTCACTTTGTGGGAGTTTGCTCTGCGCATTATGGCTACCACATTCGCCTAGAAATGTGCCAGTCAGTACACTTGACAGTGGAGCTCCAAAATATTTGACAATTTCAGGGGCTATATCAAAAGCAATGCAATTTACAGTTATACACTCTAACGCCGTTTACGTTGGAAGGACGTCTCGATGCGCTTCACAGTGCTGGACGGGAGCTGTAGGGGGTGGTGGTTGGGAAGGGAACCCTGACCGAAAGCGCCATCAATGAGGAACATTTTGAGACGAAAGGATTATCAACAACAAATTTCATTTTGTATAGCGCCTCTCACGTCGGGAGGACGTCCCAAGTCGCTGGACAGTCAGGGGTTTGGACCTGAGCAAGGGGGATGGGATCAGGAGGGGTTCGAGGGCAGGGTGGGTGGGGGTAGGAGGGTGACTAAAGGCGCGGTCGTGAAGAAGGGTCTTGAGGCGTGCCTTGAAGTTAAAATATATTTAGGATACTTATATAAATTATTATATTTATCATCTTTGCAATCGACCTAGAGCCAATTTCAGAAATAACCTGTAGCGCTTATTTACTTAACAGGCTTCCGTGTTATAAATACTGTACGTGATTACGGCTCCGAAAGCCAGGGGGCATTGGGACAACAGTGCGCTCTCTCCCTCTCCATCTCCCTCTCTCTCTCTCCCTGGCTCTCTCTCGAATGCCGTGCCTCGTGCAGCGGAACCAAAAGGACGTGATTGGAAGGGGTACAGTTGACGTATTGATTGGCATCAGCTTTGATTTCGACATTTTCTTCAGCTGTTGGGAAACGAGGGCTGCTCTGCGGCTCGACCGGTCGGTCGTCTCCTCCCTGTTGCTCTGCCAGCGTGTCTCTGGTGAATGATTAATGAGCTTGTGGGGACGAAGCTTAGGCTTCGGGTTGGAGCTGTACCGTGCGGTATATAAAGTGCGGGGCATCGGAGCACGGAGCACCCCCAGGCATCATTACAGTTGTGACAAAGGCACACAGTTTCATGTCAGCCATCTCAAGCAATGACCCCCGCCATCCTCTCGAGTCACAGTCAAGGCGGGGTCCGAGTCAAACCGCAACGCTTATAACTTTGACGGAGATAGCTCGAGATTGCGTCGAGCTCTTTACAGAATAAGCGTGACTTTTATAGGGACATAAGAACAGGAGGAGGCTATTCAGCCCCTCAAGCCTGTTCCGCCATTCTATTGCATCATGGCTGATCTGTACTTCAACTCCAAATGTTTTATTGCTTATTATAGAATGGATGTATATCTTTACTGACATTCATCCTGAGATTTCTTAGCACTTTGGTTCATTCGGTAGCACTCTCGCCTCTGGACAGAAGAGTGGGTGTTCGAATAATAATAATCCCTGCATTTCATGTAGCTCCTTATCACGTCTTCTGGACCCTCAAAGCGCTTCACATTGTATGCTGTAAAGTGAATTGACTCTTATGTTTTGCGGACGAAACGCGGCAGCCAATTGCGCCCAAATCCCATGTCGGGGTCTTGAGCTCACAGTCTCGGCTGACATGGTATTGTTACAGGTGCACCTTAACTCTGGTCCTGTTTGGGTGGGCATTATTGATCCAGCAACACTATTGGAAAAGAGAAGGAAGTTTCTCCTGGTGTCCAAGCTACCAACCCCTCCGATAAATTGGTCTCGTGGCTGTTTGAAGGACCCAATTGAGAGAAAAATCGCTGTTGTGTCTGGCCACAAAAACAGTGCGCTTATAAAGTACTTGGATGTTTTGTGGTGGAAGCTTTTCTTTCTCTCTTCTCACAATGTGTGACCTGATGTGGCTGAAGTGGGTGGGTGGGTGGGTGGGGGGAGGGGAGAGCTGTAGTCCGCAGGGCATTGTGTTAATGCAGCAGCAACAGCAATTTGTATTTATCTAGCGCCTTCACACAGGATAGCATCCGTCTTATAGAGTACTGAGTATTGCAGAGAGTATTGTTGAAGTGCCTCTTATCTACTCCTGCGAGTGGGTGAGTGTTCTCAAGGTACAAAGGCTTTGTTCTGCTTTGATACTAGTATTTGGGCTGCTGCCTGATGATCCCCGCAGATAGGATCAGATATTGTGCAGCGGGCGGGCAGCGATGGAAGAGATCCAAGCCATAAGATAATCAAAATAATTCCAGTCATACTATAAAGCCGTGTGTTTTGCAACCCTGATTCCACAGCTCTTGCAGACAAAGCGGTCTTGTCAGCCTGCTCTCTCTGCATTAAAAGCCAATGTTTTCTGATTGTGTGTTTGAAATCAACTGAGGGGGTGTGGGGTGGGGGTGTGTGTGTGTATACGCTCGGAGATGGCCTCTTTCCCCCCCCAACGTCCGCCCTGCAGTATGTTGCCAGCAAGAATAGAATGCAGTCTGTACCCTGACGGAGTCTGCTGTCTCACTTTGCTTCAGTCCAAAGTGTAAGGCACTGCGCACGTCATTGCTGGTGTTATTGATGGGAAAGGAAGCTTGCAGTATGGTCACTAGGAGAGCAGTAATGGTCTGTGCTGAGCGACTGGTGGGGGAAGTGACACCTTCCTGCGAACACACACACACACACGTGTTTTGTTTGGTCTGAACCCTTTGATTTGCCACGTGCTCACTCTGCTCACATCTCTTTCTCTTACCTTGTCCCTGGCGGTGTGACCCGTTCACGGGTGTTAGCATACGACAGTCGTGATCCTCAGATCCCCTTGCTACAACAATTTCTTGCGTATTACAACAACAGCTTGCATTAGCGTCCCAGAGCGCTAGACAGCGGTGGAGCACGACCCCGAGCCGGGAGCGAGCGGGGGAGGTGACCGGAGACACGGTCAAATAGGAAGATCTTCAGGCACGACTTGTAGTTGATGTCAGCCGGGACAACTTGAGACGGCAATTAGCTTTTGAAACTTCGAGGGAGGATAGCAAGGGATGTTTTTCATTAATTAAAACATTTTTATTTTCTTCTTCCCCCCCCTCCCCCCACGCACAGTTTGCCCGTCAGAATGCCATCACAGAGCCTGTACCCCCAACGGCCGTTGCTGCCACGACGAGTGTCTGGGGAGCTGCTTGGAGCCTAGGAACGCCAGGAAGTGCGTGACATGCCGCCGTTATTACCACGAGGGAGAGTGCGTCCCAGACTGCCCGATGGGCACCTACCGCTTCGAGGGCTGGCGCTGCATCAGTTTCGCCTTCTGTCAGCAGCTGTACAGCGAGTGCAACCACTCCCGGGAGAGCGACTGCACTCAGTACGTCATACACAACGGGGAATGCATCCCCGACTGCCCTTCAGGATACATCGTCAACACCACCAGGTAAGCGCCCATATCAGTCTGTCCGCTCCCTCCGCTCGGCAGACACCAGCCTGCTTCAGGTACTCCCACACTTCCCGCCCCAACATTGGTGGTTGGGCATTCCAGCATCTCTGCAAATTGCACACAGCAATGTCCCACAAACAGTCATGGATTGAAGTGATCAATTTTATTATTTGTTTTTTCTTGAGGGATTATTATCAGACATATGGAGTAAGGAAACTTGCCCAAGGTTTTGCTCTGCCCTTCCCCCCAGGAATTGAACCAGGTCTCTCATGAGGCGAGTGCTCTAACCACTGAGTTATAGGTCTTTGTTGGCTAAGGTGGTATTCCTGGCGTCCCATGTCTGGGGCGTTCACTGAGGTTGGTCCCAATGGACAGAACCTTTTACTTTTTACACGGCATTAAGTCTCGCAGTTGCCTTAGGCACCAACCAATGTTTACTGCGGTATAATACACTGCACTCACTCCTCAATGCTGTTTTTTGAAATCACGCTGGAGGTTTCAAGTCAGTAGTGTGCAATAGGGCCCTTTTTCTATACTTTCTGTACTCTGTGTGCTTTTTACAGTGCCTTGGGACGTCCTCCCGACGTGAATGTTACTTTAATAATAACTCGGAGCCTTTCACAAATAGCAGTAGTCTGAAAGCGCTTTGCAGAATGGACGTGAAAGTAATTGTTTCTAGAGGCAAATACTGGTGCTACGCTGCATGAGTGATGCAGCGCAGAATGCCTAAAAAAAAGTTATTTCCAATGGCTCAGATTTCTCGATGGAAGAGTTAAAAGGGAGGTTAGAAAAAACTTTTTCCTATATGGAGGAGTTCGTTATGAGTGCTCAGTTATTTTGGCGATCGCCACTGTCAAAATAATGGCAACAAAACCCAGGAAAAGGTTGTTACCAACATCACCTGATATTGGGGCGTTTCTCCTGGATGAAGTTAGTGCCACAGGATGCGCAGCATTAAAACAACAACAACTACAAAATCACGTCGGGAGGACTTCCCAAGGCCCTGGACAGTCAAGGCTTTGCACCCGAGCTGGGGGTTGGGATGAAGAGAGATGGAGGGTAAGGGGGTTGGCTGTGGGGGTGGGAGGATGACTGAAGGCAAGGTCCAAGAGGAAGGTCTTGAGATGGGCCTTGAAGGAGGCAAGGGAGGGGGCAAGGGAAAGGGATTCCAGGATGGAGTTCCAGAGGGTGGGGGCAGAAAGACTGAAGGCCCGCCCGCCGATGGTGGAGCAGGGGGCATGGTCTTCATAGATCATCACGTGGGGAGAAAGGGAGAAGGATATTTAAGGAAAACAACAACAACAACAAAATTACATTCATAGAGAGCCTTTCACGTCGGGAGGACGTCCCAAGGTGCTTGGCAAAACCTTGGGCAAGTGCGTATGTATCTCTTCTCTCTCGCGCACACACACATACACGCCATATACAAACACACAGACACCCACACATGCGCACACAAAGGGGTGGCTGATGTAATCACCAAAACAATCGAGCATTGTGACCGAGAAGGAAGTTGTGTTGAGAACACAACTAGGAGAATTAATTGGTGGACAGCTCTCTGAGACTGACTGGCAGGTGAGTTGAAGAGCTGCAATGTGGGTTAGATCTCGATGCTGGTAATTGCTGATAAGTGTTTGAACAGTGCATTGTTCCGTAGTTTAATTAATATTGCAGTCGTTTTTTTTTCCTCTCATTGTATTGTTTGCATCCCTGAGGGTGATCTCGTACTTTGTCCTTTGTAATCTCTTGTTTTTCTGCGGCTTTAATCAGAGGAATATGAGAAAATCAAAAGCCAAGGTATCAAGTGGCTGTAAAGAGGGATTCTCTTGCAACTGGTGCCCCTTGGCAGCTCGTAGCATCATGCAAATCACACAATGCACAGTGTGAAACACTTATCAATAATTACCAGTGTTTAGATCTAATCCACTTTGCAGCTCTTTGCTCACCTTATTTTTGAGAGGGAGATGGGTGTAGATAAAGGATATGCAAGGGCAGGGGCTATATCATAGGTCATAATTGCCTTCAGTCCACAAGTAAGTGGAACCTGACAAGTGGAACCTTAATAGTAATAATAATAATCCTTGCATTTGTTACAAATCCACATCTCGACGAAACAAATGTGGGTTTGTATCAAATGCAAGCATTATTATTATTACTATTAAGGTTCCACTTGTCAGGTAAAGTGAAATGAAATCAGAAGTCGCTGGGAACACTCAGCAGGTCAGGCAGCATCTATGGAGAGAGGAAAGTGACAGTTCAGGTCAATGACCTTTCATCAGAACTGGGGGATGTTGGAAGTGAGCAGTTTATAAGGACCAACAGAGAAGGGGATGGGAAACATACAATAAAGTGAATTGACTGTATTTTGTGGGTGAAATGTTAGTTAGTGAGACATTCCAGTGAATTCCAGTCATAATGTTAATACATGTAACAAAACAATTGACCCCAAATAAAGTATAGTTCAATATTTTATCAGATTTCTTTAAAGATAGCTAATGGAGTGGAGATGGGTAGGGGAGGGTGTAAACCCAATTTTTTTAAAATTATAGCTTAAAAGATAATTTTTCTTGAATTTTTAAAAGAAATTCGCACATCAGCCGCGCAGCTTTTTGTCTCGCCCACAAAACACACAGTCAGTTCACTTTACAGTGTATCCTACGAAGAAGCGCCTTGAGATGTCTCGGAGATGCGACAAGGCGCTATATCACACACGAGGATTATTATTATTATCTTAGCTGCTCCTGACTGGTTTAGACATCACATGCTGTGCTTTACGTTTGACAAAATCTGATGCAAACCGGTTGCATTCATTTATTTCCCTCTCTCCCACCACCCCCACCCCCACCCTACCATGTGAGAGTCCTTGATAAACAGTGATGAGCTCATGTCTGTATCCTGTGGCAGACAATAGCTGTTGACAAATTGGTGTGCGACGTGAAGTGCTAAATGAAAGAGCTAGGCCCCTACGTGTGTGGCTGTCCATTACTCACTCCTAAACGGCAAATTAGTGCCGCGGCACAGAGATGAGGCTGTCAGCCCATCGCCAGGACCAAACAATAGCAGACTTTGTTCAGCAAAAAAAACCTCTCTTTGTGTGTTGTGCAGAAAAGGGGTGAAGGGTCTTCAGTGCAGATGATGCCATTGTGTTTTGCCACCAGGGAGGCCGGACTGGCTCTGTTTGAACTCTTTTTTTTGATTTTGAGTCCTGCTTCTAGTCCTTTGCACTTTACAAAACTTTGGGCCACTTTCCTTCAACCCTCTTTCCTCCATCGCCCCCCACTCAACCTCCTCCTCCACCCCACCACCGCATCAGCTTCCTTCCCCTTGAAGGTGATGACTTATGCTGGGTTCGGTTCCAAGGGCCACTCGGTCAGTCTCCAAAACTGTGTTGGGTTTCGAGAGATAAGGACCGTGAGTGTCAGCCAAGCTATTCACCTGACGGAGAGAGGGTGGGAGGGAGGGAGAGAGGGAGGGGGTCATTGCAAGTTGATCTGCCCTTTCCGAACATTAAGACAAAAGCAGTTTCCTCCAGATGTCACAGGACAGCGACGATCTGTGGGAATTTGAGCTGATTTTCTGCCTGCTCCTCATCACAATGATGTTAAATAGCTTCCTTCCCGGCTGTCCCAGTTGAGTTCAGCACAGACACATAAGAACATAAGAATTTGCTAGATGAAAGAAGACTCAAGGTCCATCCAGTTCACCTTCCACCTCCTGGCAGTCGCATGCACATGTCGTGTCCCAAATTATCTATTGTATCCCGAGTTATTTATTTCCTAACAGAATGACTTGAAATGGGTTAACACTTTACTCATTTGGCTGTGGATTCTAGGCATTAAATGCCTAGAGACTGACCAGAAGCACTGACTCGAGTGCAAGATGCTGGTATGACTGGCTGGGTGGCTCCCACTCTAGCTGGCTGCTGAGATGAGTACAGGCTAGCAGTCTGCTGTGACCCCAGTACTCATTGCCACAGCTCAGGTGGGTAGAGCACTGGGTTAGGCCTCCAGGTTCGGGCAGGTGGTCAGACCTGGCTGGAGAAAAGGGACCTGCTCACATCGCCCAAGCTTGAGGCCTGACTTGCGACAGCGTGAACAGGCAAAGTGTGAGTATCCTGGATTCCCTCGAGAAGGAAAGGGATAACATTGTTTGGTCCTTTACAGTTCTCCCTCCTGCTAGCTAGATCTATATTGGTTTTGAGTCATCTCAAATAATAATGGTGTGGGGGTTGGGGGGGGTTGGAGGGAGAAGGGTGACAGCTTGTTGGTCTGACTCATACCATACTGACAGGTATCATGTTCTGCTCTCCATGGTGAAGAGGAGATTTCTTGTGTGTGTGTTTTTGGGAGGAGGCGGGGAGAAGAAATTGCAATAACATATAGATCACGGGTTCCGCTCGTGTTTCGTGCTCTGTCACCTGAGCTGCGTTGGGGCAGCTGTGGAGTCTTGATTTAGGGGTAAATTCAGGCGTGTTTCCTGGTCTTTATTGCTATCTAGAGACCCTCGCTGAAGAGGAGTTGGGGGTGAGGTGGGGGGGGGGATTCTTGGGCACAAGCATTGGGCAAGGTAGCAGATGCCGTCCATCAATCTCTGCTCAGTACAAATTAGGAAAAGGAAGGATTTTTTTTAAATGCAGCCATTCATGGTGATGATAATCCTTACATTTGCTAAGGTCCCTTTTACTTCGGGAGGACGTCCCAAAGTGTTTCACAGGGGAGACACTGTCAACTTGGGTAAACTTACGTTAGTGAGTGAACGATAATTATAATCCTTGCTTTTGAAACAGAGCCTTATCACGTCTTCGAGACGTCTCAAAGCGCTTCACAGGATACACTGTCAAGTGAATTGACTGCATATTTTATGGATGAAACGATGACTAAACTAACATTTTCTTGCACTAATCCTTTGATTCTGTTCGGATTTCTACCCCTCCCTCCCTCGCTCCCTCCCTCCTCACCATGTTGACTTGAGCAGTGCTGCTCATTATTCACAAGGAGCAGCAGCACAAGCCAACAGTGTCTTAGTGACCCAGATGTTGGTCCTATTTCCGGATTCTGGGAGTCACCACTTCATCACAGCTTATCCCATCTGTGCCGAATTCATTCACTACAACCAATGAAGTATCCCTGGCGGAAATATCAAATCTAACACGTTCCAGAAAGTTTCAAAAGCATGTCTTTAACTCTTTCAAAAAAGTTCTTACCCTTAAGAGCAAAAGTACTCTGAGAAGTTTCATATACCAAATAATAATAATAATCCTTGCATTTGATATACTGCCTTGTCACTTCTTCGAGACGTCTCAAAGCGCTTCACAGAATATACTGCACATTGAATTGACTGTACAGTTTGTGGTTGAAATGCGGCAGCTAATTGCGCAGAGCTGTGGCTCACAAACAGTCGTGGATTGAGTGACCAAATTATTATTTATTTATTTCTTGAAGGGGTTATTACCCCTGAAAAGCAATCCGCCAATTGACCAACTACCGAGTCCCTACTTACTGCTCGTGTGTGGAGTGAGGAAACTGGCCTAAGGTTTCTCCCCGCCCGGGAATCGAACCCAGGTCCTCTCGCTTGCGAGAAGAGTGTTCTAACCAATATGCTGCAGGACTCCACATTAACAGGATTAGCCCATTAATCTGGTTCCAACGGTTTATTCAGGTTTTGGGTGCGTGTGGGAGGAGACAACCTTTTCGTGTGTGTGGGAAACCAGGAAGGTTCCAGGTTTATCTGCCTCATCTGCTCTGGTAGCTGGTGATCAACACCTGGAATGGGTTAACAGGAAGGGTGGTTGAGAGCAGGATGCTAAGGTTGTGGAGTCGAGTGACTAGGGTTATCTCCTTAATAACTGCTAGCAGTGGAATGGAGACGCTACTGTCAATCTCCTTACCACTGGAATGCATTGCTTTGTATTCGCAAAGGGCAATATAATCTTATTGCGTGAATGTCAGACAGGAGTCTGCACTGCTTAAGTCGTCTGATCTGTTGAGCAAGCTGGTTTGCAAGTTTACCAAAATAAATACTTGTCTGGTACACACCCTTTAAACCTGTCATTGATTTCCAGTTGACCTGGGCTTCTCTGACGGGAACAGCTTTGAGATGCCTTGTCTTCAAGAGGTCTCAAAGTGCTTCGCAGAATATACTATCAAGTAAATTGATTGTGTATTTTGTGGGCGAAACAATGAGTGCAAATGGCTCTGGAACTCTCTTCCTCTACCTTTATGAAGACAGAAGGTCTCAGTGCTTCATCAGCAGTTACTGTTGTGCAGTGACTGCTTTTGTTAACTAATGGGGTAACCTGTTTTGCACTCGGGAAAGTCCCACAAACAACCATGAACTGAATGTTGATTAATCTAGAGGATTACTGGCCAGGACACGGGGAGATACTCCCTTCTCCATTCTAAAAATGTCATGAGATCTTGGAATATCCACCTGAACAGTCAGACAGACGGGACCTTGGTTGAATGTCTCATTCGCAGATGTTCCATCTCGCACTGTGCTGCAGTGTCGCCCTAGTTTGTGAGTTCAAAGTCCCAATGTGGGTCTTGAACCGACAACCTTCTGCACCAGAAGTCAGACGTTGAGTGTCATCACACTGGCACCTAAACACCAACAGAACACAGTGATTAAACTGACAAGCAGCAGCCTGATATATCCGTCTGTACACACTTTTATTCCAAGAAAACGCTTATTCTTGTCAATTCCGTGCGCACTTTAACTTTACAGTCGGTTAATAATAATCCTTGCATTTGACGTAGCGCCTTAGACGTCTCAAAGGTTTCAGAGAATATACTGTAAAGTGAATTGATTGTATATTTTGTGGGTGAAATATGCAGTCAGTTGACGCTCATGGCCTGGGTCTGTTCAGTTCAGTGACCTTGTTTCTCTCCGCAGCCTCCTGTGTATGCCGTGCAGTGGGCTCTGCCCCAAGGTGTGTCCTGTGAACGTCAAGGCCATCGAGTCTGTGAAAGCCGCACAGGAACTGCGAGGCTGCACCGTCATCAAAGGCAGTCTGGTCATCAACATCCGCGGAGGAAGTGAGTGCAGCAGCCGCAACAACAACTTGCACTTAGCACTTATTTATCTCAGAGTGCTCGGTTAATGATCAGGAGAGATCCCGGGAAATTATAAGATATTGCCACTATATACTGAATCGTATTCCGATTTCAAGATCCTCACACTCGTGTACAAATGACTTCACGCCCTGGCACCTCCCTACCTCTCCGACCTGCTATCTCTCCCCCACTCCACTACCTGCTCAGCTCCGGCCTCCTGCTCATCCCTCGCCCCCTCCGCTCCGCCATCGGCAGCTGTGCTTTCAGCCACTATGCCTTGAAGCTTTGGAACTCTCTCCCTGAATCCCCTCACCTTTCCTTTTAGATCACGACTGAAGAACTTCCTCTTCGACCGTGTTTACAGTTACCTCCTCTCTCCTCCGGTTTAGGATCAGTCTCCGCCACTGTTAAGTGCTCCGAGACGCTGCCCCGTGTGAAGGGCGCTGTATAAATGCGAGTTGCTGTTGTTGTTGAATGTCAACTCTTCTGGGCCCCCAAATTTCTTCTGCTCTTAGCCTATTGTCTTAAAAGTTCAAACCCTGCAGTATTTTGGTTAAATTTGCCCAATTCACTCTTCATTTGGAGACTTAAGTTCTGGAGAAGAACTAAAGCTTCCACTTATGAATGTAATTGTTTAATGACCAAATTGGAAATATTAATGATCAATTGAGGTGGTTTTCTAGTCAACGAGCGCCCTCTGGTGTTGACTTGGTTAAGTACTTAATCCACAACTGTTTGTGGGACCTGTGGGACCACTGCTGTGTGCAATTGGCTGCCGCGTTTTGCCCACAAAAGATGCAGTCAATTCACTTTGCAGTATATCCTGTGAAGCGCTTTGAGACGTCTTGAAGGCGTGATAAGTCGCTCCATCAAATGCAAGGATTGTTCTAATTAAGTTTGGGCATTAGGGGTGGAAGAAGACTTATGAGAGCTGAGAATGCTGTGGGGCTGTGCTGTGGGCTGTACTAGTGCCACATAGTAGAGAGTGAGAGGGTGAGGCACTGGTTTAGCATCTTGTGCTCAGTCTGTAAGTTTCCGTGTTTGTTCCTCATCAGCCAACATCGCAGCGGAGCTGGAAGCCAACCTGGGCCTGATTGAAGTCATCACCGGGTATCTGAGGATCCGCAGATCCTATGCTCTGGTGTCTCTCAGTTTCTTCCGTAGCCTGACTCTGATTAAAGGCGATACACTGGAGCTTGGGTAAGTACAACAACAACCTGCACTTATATAGCGCCCTCCACGCAGGCTCGTGTCTCAGAATACAGTATATTCTGTAAAGCGCTTTGAGACGTCTCGACGGTGTGATGAGGCGCTATATCAAACACAAGGATTATTATTATTTTCTCAGGATTTTACTGTAAGGTGTAGTGACTGTGCTTGTTGTTTCCCAGGATGTATTCCTTCTACGTGCTGGACAATCAGAACCTGCAGCAGCTGTGGGATTGGAATAAACACAATCTGACCATCTCCCGGGGAAAGATGTTCTTCCATCACAACCCCAAGCTCTGCCTCACCGAGATCTTCAAGATGGAGACGATCACGGGCCTCAAGGGCCGGGAGGAAAAATCTGACATCGCCCTCAAAACCAACGGAGACCAAGCTTCCTGTAAGACTACCTTTCGCCCCGATTGATCTTGCATCATTGCCAAATGCAACCGATTTTTTTTAAAATCCATTTTAACAAAACCGCGAGCTTATAAATGGATGGTAAAGGTAAACTCGCACACGTTTGGTCTGTATAAGTCGTAGAATTGCCTAAGTTGCACATTCACCTCCCCTCCCCCCCCCAAGTCCCGCTCAATTTCTTATTAAATCCACTTAAATGCATATGCGATAGTCATATTAATCACTGCGTAACTCATATTAAATATTATGGTCCCAACTGATACGACTTATGTGAGTTTCCCTGTAATTGTCAGGTTGTGGCTCTGCTCTGCCAGTGTCGAAGATTTAGGAGGGATAGGGTTAAACGTGTAGCTGGCCTGAAATTGAGAAGTGTGCAGGAGAAATGTTTCAAAGGCTGAAAAGGATGCTCTGTGCCTTGCTCCCAATTACACCTAATGCAGGAATACACTGCAGAGTCTCAACACGTCAGTGTCTGTAACTGTGTTTGCACCTCGGATAAATCTGTGATAACATTAGCGTGCAAACAGCTCTGACCTTTCGGCTAAATCCTCTAAACCCTTCTCACCTGTCGGGTTTAACTTTCCCAACCCCCCCTCCCCTCCCCTCCTCCCGCCTCCCCGCGCACACACACGCCTGTCGCACTCCATTAAGCACCATCAGCATCTCTTCAAGAATGAAATCTGGCGGCTAGAGAAGAAAAATCACTTACACTTAGACCCTTGACTGCCTTTTACTTTGACGTTTCCTTTTCCACGTGCTGCACTTTGAGCAGGAAGGATAGGAAGAAGTGGAGTCCTGTAGCTCAGTGGTTAGAGCACTCGCCTCGCAAGGGAGAGACCTGGGTTCGATTCCCAGCAGGGCGAAATGTCGGGCAAATTTCCTTACTTCACACACCTCTGTTTAACTAGCAGTAGGTAGGCACCCGACTGTTAGTAGATTGGCGGATCTCTTTTCTGAGTGTATTAATTCCTTCAAAAAAATAATAATAATAATAAATTGGTCATTTCAATCCATGACTATGGCTATTCTGTGAAGCACTTTGAAGCGTCTCGAAGATTTGAAAATCTCAAATGCAAGGATTATTATTATAAGACGATTTAACATTGCCAAACAATGAGAGGGGCTTTGACGAGGGGGGTTTGATAAGCGAGTGGCCACAGGGCGAGAGTTTTGGGGAGCCTGGGGGAGTAGCAGCTGAAAGCTCTTGCCACAATGTGTAAAGGGGAGTCATTTAAAGAACATTTTATTCTGGGGAAAAGCGCATTATATTGTGAAAACCACAGGCTGTATATAAATAAATACATCCGAGTGTGTGACCTTGATCTCGCTCAAAACGCCGGGCATCAGCCCATGTCTGGGCAGAAATACAAACAGACAGTGCCTGCGTGTTGTCTGTGTTGTGTGTTACGAAACATAATAATTTGGTCTGTTTGTGGGACGCTGCTGTGCGCAATTGGCTGCTGTGTTTCGCCTACAAAACATACAGTCACTTTACAGTATATTCTGTGAAGCACGTTGGGATATCTCGAAGACGTGATAAGGTGCCATATCAAATGCAAAGATTATTATGTGTGTGTGTGTGTGGGGTGGGGGGGTGTGGAGGTGGACGATGGACTATTTTTTTTAATTGTCCCGACTGACGAATGGTCCTGACAAGAAGACACAGATCAAATATAACTCTTCTCTCTCTTTCTCTCTCTCTCCCACTCCCAGGTGAAAGCCAGCGCCTAAGCTTCGTCACCAATAAGACAGGGACGGATAAGATCATGTTAAAGTGGGAGCCGTACTGGCCCCAGGATTTCCGGGACCTGCTGGGCTTCATGGTTTTCTTCAGAGAAGCGTACGTTTATCCTGGCGCAGTGGTAGCGCTCTGTCTCACCTCTGGGTCAGGAGGTTGTGGGTTCAAGCTCCCCCCCATATTGGGACTTGGAATCACATCGTCTAAGCTGACGCTCCAATGCAGTGCTGGGGCGGGGTGGGGGGATATTGCATCGTTGGAGGTGCCGCCCTTTGGATGAGATGTTAAATCGCCCACAAAGTATGTAGTCAGTTCACTTTAAAGATCCCGTTAAAGGCACCGTTCAAAAAAAGAAGGGAGTTTCTCTCTTTCTCCCGGTGTCCTGACCAACAATCACCCACCCCACCCACCCCCCTGAAAAGAGATCAATTGCTTGCTTCACGGATGCTTAGAGTGCGCAAATCGGCTGCCAGACTCGCCAACAAAACACACAGTCACTACATTTTGCAGTATATTCTGTGAAGCTCTTTGAGACGTCTCGACGACGTGATAACGCTCTGTATCAAATGCGCAGATTATTATTATCCATTAGCTGTGAGGCACGGCGAGGCTATAGGCGCTGTGTAGCACATGGGTTGTGGTTGCTCTAAGCTGCCGGTTGGGTTGAATCTTTTACGGACTTTCCCGAAACAGCCCTTATCAGAATGTAACGGAGTTTGACGGTCAGGACGCCTGTGGGTCTAACAGCTGGACGGTGGTGGATGTGGAGCCCCCTGCTCGTGTCACGGAAGGGAAGCAGAGTAACCCGGGCACCCTGCTCCGCGGCCTCAAGCCCTGGACGCAGTACGCCATCTTCGTGAAGACACTTCTCACCATCAGCGACGAGCAGCGAAACCACGGGGCCAAGAGCGATATCGTCTACATCCGCACCACGGCGGGGGGTAAGCTAAGTGTTGGGGGAGGGGGAGTGTTGTGGGGGGGTAAGTCTCGGGGAAAAGGAGGGAACAGAAGGGCCATTCGTTGCTTTGTGAGGTGAGGGAGGGGGTTGGGGGTAGATTGCGAATTGGAGGCCTTGTCTGGCCGTCTCCTCACTTGCTCACGCTACAGCGATGTGTGGTGTGTCGGTGTCTGTAACTGGTTGCTGTAAGCCACTGGTATTTCGCGTATTTTCACCCACAAAATACACAGTCAATCCAGTATAGTCCGTGAAACGCTGTGATAAGGCACTATATCAAATTCAAGGATTATTATTATTATCTCTCGATAATGCAGCAGCGGGAACTTCTAGCTGAGTTTTTTTCCTCCTTCTATCTCTCTCACCTCCACCACTCCCATCTAATGAGGATAGAGTCTTAACTGTAGCCCCGTTTCTATCCTCGATCAATAACTGGGGATTGAACCTGGGAATTTCTTTTCGGTGTGGCTCAGTGCTGTGGTGGGCCAGGGATTTATCCACTAAGTCATCGGGGAAAGCACTTTAATATTGAGAGGTTTTTCTCTCTCTCTCTCTCTCTCTCTCTCTCTCTCTCGTTCTCTGTGTCTCTTTACCCCACCCCACCTGACCGCTACAACTCACTTATCTTTGTGTCTTTTTTTTCCCCAGTTCCGTCGTTTCCACTGGATCCGATATCCGTGTCCAACTCCTCTTCCCAGATTATCCTGAAGTGGAAGCCTCCGTCTGACAGGAACGGGAATATCACTCACTACCTGGTGTTCTGGCAGCAGCAGCCAGAGGACAGCGAGCTCTTTGAGTTTGACTATTGTCAGAAAGGTGAGGAGGGCGTCAGCACAGTGTCCGCAGAGCCGGGGGGGAGAGGGAGGGGGAGGTGACCGAGCGTAAGCACGATCAAAACGGAAGCAAAACAACGACAACTCAATCCACGACTGTTTGTGTGACGCTGCTGTGCCCAATTGGCTGCTGCGTTTCGCCCACAAAATATACAGTCAGTTCACTTTACAGCGTATCCTGTGAAGCGCTTTGAGACGTCTCGAAGACGTGATAAGGGGCAGTGTCCAATGCAAGGATTGGTATTATTATATATTTATATATATTATATTGTCCGTTGCAGGACTCAAGTTGCCGTCCCGCAACCCCACCACGCAGAACGATCAGGAGGACACACACAAGCAGAACCAGACAGACCTGGGCCAGGATTCTGAAGAGTGCTGTGCCTGCCCCAAAACCGAGTCCCAGCTCAAGAGGGACGCCGAGGAGGCGGCCTTCCAGAAAACGTTCGAGAACTACCTGCACAACGAGGTTTTTATGATAAGGTAATAAATAAGACGGGGGAGCGAGCGGGTTTGTCAAAACGCTGCAAATTGCTTGCGGGAACACACAGACTGACTGGCTACAGTGGCCTGTTTCGACGGAGGTTTGTTAGGAAGCTGTAAATTCAGAACGTCAGTCGCACCACAGGCAGAATTCCACCCACCACGAAGCCTTTTTTTTTTGTCTCGGTGCCTTTTCCTGAAGTTTTCTTTCCACCCCCGCCCGCCCGCCCGCCCGACTGTCGAAACAAATCAGGGTTTTACTGCTTCAGTCCCTACGTTTGGCCACAAGAGAGCGCTCCCGTTGGTTTCACTGTGGCATCAGTGCTGCCATCTAGTGTTTATAAGACAGTACAACAACAACAACAACAACAGCAACAAAATTACATTTGTATAGCGCCTTTCACGTCGGGAGGACGTCCCAAGGCGCTGGACAGTACAGCGGCATATTCACCGGCTTTAGACTCTGCCCAACAATATTTTGTTAATAATAATGATAATCCTTACATATGAATAGCTCCTTTTGTGTCGGGAGGACGTCCCAAGGCGCTGAAATAGTCCTAAAGTATTCATGACGCAGAAACGAGGATATAGTGTCCCATGAGTTCTGAGATAACGATTTTTCTCGCAAAAAAATCACCAGTCAATCTAGTCTCTTTCTCCTGCGCAATTCCCAGCCCCACCCCCACCCCACCCCCATCCCACGCCTTATCAATGTCCCTCTTTTTCCAAGCACCAATTCCCCCTTTTTAAAAACCAAAAGAGAATCAAGATACTTGAATCCTGAAGCCAAAGGAATAGCTCCCCAAAGCCAGCTTGTTAAAAACCCGTTGAAAGTGGTTGTTTTACTCTTTGCAGACCGCCAACTCAAGATAATGACTCTAAGGACCGTAGGTAAGCGAAAATTTCCCCGCTTACTGCTTCCGAAATCACGCTGGGGCCGGGGTGGTGGGGGGAGCTGTGCCAGGACGCAGGTGCCATTCAATGATTGATTTGAAAGCAAGAGGGGAGGAGGGTGGGGAGAGAAAGTGGGTGGGGGGGGGGTGAAATCGCTAATTAAAAACCTTGCACCCAGTTGGGGTGGCCTTTAATTGTGTGCTTGCACTCTAACCCTCTGTGTAATGACAAACGCTAAAGGAATTCCAGCGCTGACCTGTCGCCTCACACCAACATTAATTCCAGAACTAAACGCATTTTTTAATTTAAAAAAAAATGGGATTTTGGGAGCCTTCTCCCAGGTATCACATTCCCACAGCCACTGCCAGTCTGTGAGATTGTTTGTCCCGTAGAGCGAATGGAAGCATGAAGCGGAGCCTCTCAGACTTGCTGTTTAATTCTGCCGTGCACTGTGCAGGACTGGTTTGTGTTTGCAGCTTCCAGTGTTATTTCTGTGATACGTTTCTTGTCTGTGTGCTGGGTGGGTGGGGGGAAGTCATTCGCCGGGCTCGTTAAGTTCTGTGACGGTCGTTCGTTCCTCTCTGGTCCGTGCGGTAACGGGGACGAAACCCCAACTGGCCGAGAGTTTGCAGTTCCACCTGAAGATTTCCTGTTCGTGCCATTCTGTACCAAGGGAGGTCTTTGAGCTAAGTGACGTAAGAATTTTGGGCGAAACGAAGATCAAGGTCCATCCAGTTTGCCCACCACCATCCTGGCAGTTGCATGCACAGCTATATGTCATGTCCCAAACTATCTACCGTATCCCAGATATTATTTCCTGATAGAAATCTATCCAATTTGTTCTTGGAAGAATCAATACTTTCTGCTTCCACATTGCAATGCCCAGTGATGTGTTTGCGTCGATCAGCTCAGTTTTAATCGCACGGTTATGGTCGAGTGAAGGTCGAACTCACTTTTCCCCCTTAGAGTGGGATGCAGCACTTCAGTAGAAATGTACTGATGCTGTAACCTTTACCCTAGCCGTAACCCAGGAGCACTTTCGAGCGAGAGTTACAAATGGACCTTTTTATTCAAAGTGAAATAGCAGCTGGGGCTTGGGATGAGACTGTCGCGTGTGATCCGATCCGTGTGGATGAGCTGATATGAGCATACCAGGCAGGTTGTAGCATTGCTATGTGTGCACAGCTTGTCTGGTGCTGTGTGTGTGCCACACCTGTGTGGCTATTGCATACTGTATGCCAGTGTACTGCAGTGTGCATAGCTGCAGTGTGCCACCCTCTGATTTTCTTTTTGGTCAACCGGGTGTCTTGACCCACATGGAAACCCTTAAGAGTATTCCAAACCCAACCGAGAATTCCGTGCATCCAACTACACATGGAAATCCCAGAGGTAGATTGTTGGAATGGAACACGTACTCTCTCTTCCCCCTGGAGGGATGCATCCTGTTTACCTAATTCTGGAAAGTATTAGGCACAGGTTGGCAAGAACCAAGGCTGGGGCTAACTGCAGGAGACGAAACCAGCATTGAATTCACACAAACGGGTTCACTGCAGAAACCTTAATGATTCCTGACTTTTCCACCCAACTGGCCCTAAACCCCATTGATTTCCGGTGTCACGGAGTTAGCCAATATCTCTCTCTCTCTCTCTCTCTCTCTCCACAGCTCTGGCTGTGCACGTTCACTCTTGACTGCCTTACAGAGGGTGTCTCCCACCTCCCCCCCCCTTCCTGTGTTTCAGGCCTTCCCGGAAGCGCAGGGAACTGGGAACGTTTTCCAATGGCACGATGCCCGAGTCCACCACACCTCCCTCCGGGAGCAACGCTTCGGTCACCCGGCCCCCCAACGAGGAGGAGGACTATCCCAAGATGTCAGAGAAGGTGTGGATGAAGGAGTCGCTGGTGATCTCTAACCTGCGGCACTTCACGGGCTACCGGATCGAGATCCACGCCTGCAACCACGACGCGCACAATGTGGGCTGCAGTGTGGCCGCCTACGTGGGCGCGAGGACCATGCCCGAAGGTAGAGAGATGTTCTGAGGGTTTCACATTCCATCGCTCATGTTACAAATCCCTTCATGCCCTGGCACCTCCCTACCTCTCCGACCTGCTTACCCCCTCAACCCGCTGCCTCCGATCGACTGGCTCCGTCCGGCCTCCTGCAAGTTCCCCCCCCCCCCCCGTGCCCTCCATTTCACCATTGGCGGCCACGCTTTCAGCCATTACGCCCACGAAACTCCGGAACACTCTTCCTCTATGCCTCCGCCTTGCTCCTTTCTTTCCCATCTTCGGGTCGCGCCCGAAGAACTTCCTATTCGATCGTGCCTACGGTCACCCCCTCCCGCCCCGGCTCGGCGTCGAGCTCCACCACGGTCAAGCGCTCTGGGACGCTCCTTTGCATACCCGCAGGGAACGTTGACCCTTGGCTTTCATTGGATGCTTCTGAGTGAATTCACGTGCCTGCGTTTGTTTCCTTTTACAGAGAAGGCCGATGACATCGTGGGTCGGGTCACCCAAGAGGTCATTGACAAAGTGGTCAATATACGATGGGAAGAGCCCAAGTCACCAAACGGCCTCATCGTCCTGTACGAGGTCCACTACAAGCGTCTGGGAGACACCGAGGTGAGTGTGCTCGCTTCCCGCTGCGAAGCTGGGAGGCATGGAATTCTCAGCTTCCTTTGGAGACTCTTAAGCGATGATGATGGGTTTCCGCAAGTGTGTCAGACACCCGGCTGACCACCCCCAACACCTCCAAAAAAAAGAGCGAGGATGGATTATTAACTGTGCATTCAGAAGCGTAGGACGATATTAAAAAAAATTGTTTTAAAAAGGAATTCTGTTCGCGGACCGGCTAAGGCGAGGGGAGGAACATTCATCTCGGGGCCAGATGTAGTTCTAAAAAGTGTTTGTATAAACTTGACGTGTTCTCGACCTGGCGCGACTTGGAGAGAGCGCTGTTCACTCTGCTGAGAAGCCGCTGTGTGGGGCACAAATCAGGATGGGTTAAGATCAGAGTTCAGTAACAATGGGGCCTGATCCACCCTTGTTTGTTGCTGCAGGAGATGCAGCAGTGTGTGTCCCGCAAGCGTTTCCTGAGCGAGAAAGGCTGCAGGGTCAAAGTGCATCATCCCGGCAACTACACAGTCAAAGTGCGGGCAACCTCGCTGGCTGGCAATGGCTCGTGGACGGAGCCCATTTCCTTCTTTGTTCAAGATGCATCCTTAAGTAAGTGTGTGTTTAGATTAAAAAAATAACTGAACCGATCGAGATGTGTGTAAAGACGCTAAGGAAGATCGAGAAACTAAACCCAAAACAGTACTCGGTCCACGCCTGTTTGTGGGACGTCGCTGTGTGCAATTGGCTGCTGCGTTTAGCCCAACAAAACACACAGTCACTACACTTTACAGTATGTCCTGTGAGGCACTTTGAGGCATCTCAAAGACGTGATTAGGCGTGATAGCAAAAGCAAGGATTATTATTATTATACTGCAGGGAATCAGACGTGGATGTGTCTTCTCAAACCTTCATCTCTGATTCTTGTGCTTATCTCCCTCTCACACAGATCGCGAGAGTGACCTTTACAAGATAATTGGTCCGGTCATCTTTGCAATCTTGCTCATGGTCTTGGTTCCAGTTGTCTTCTTAGTAGTGAAGAAGAGGTAAGGGTCAATCACATGTCCCATCGAACCCTTTTGTGTTGTACTCACTGTACACAGTGACCTGTTATATCTTAACAGACTTTGCTAATTGGCGGCATTTCCGTACGTTCCTCTTTCAGACGAACCGAGGTGCCGACAGGAATATTTTACACTTCTTCAAACCCGGAGTATATCAGTGCCAGTGAAGGTAAGCGCTTGTGCTGATAAAACGCTGAGTTGTTTAATGTCCCTGATGGAGAGTGGATTGTCGGACAGAGTCTAGTCGAACAGGGCTGAATATCACAAATATCAGCATGGAAGTTGGCACTGCGTGTTAACACACTGTGTTGTGCACCCTGTGTACAGAAGGAATAATAGCTGCTCTTAATTGCTTAACCAATCCTCATCACGAGTTGTGCCTAATGAAGAGCTCCTGTGATTTCCTTTATAACAGTACTTAACACACGGTTTACACATCTTACTTAGTAGACGTGAATATGTCCCAAACTACCTATGTACAATAACCCATTTCCATGGCTTGTTTGCTTGGCGACACTTGTGTTAATCTCCTACCTGTTGTAGTATTGTGTGTTCCCTCAAAGCCACCGTTGCTTTTGTTCCCTCAGTCTACGTGCCAGACGAGTGGGAGGTCCTGAGGGAGAAGGTCGATCTGCTGCGGGAGCTGGGACAGGGTTCCTTCGGGATGGTTTACGAAGGAATCGCCAAAGACATCGTCAAGGGAGAGCCCGACACTCACGTGGCCGTCAAAACCGTCAACGAGTCAGCCAGCCTGCGGGAACGCATCGAGTTCCTGAACGAGGCATCTGTCATGAAGGCGTTTACCTGTCACCACGTGGTACGTCTCTCGTGCCCCGCACCCACCCCCTCCCCATCGGTCCCTTTCTTTCGGTGTGGTTGTTTTTGCTCCTGTCACATCAAGGTTCAGGCAAATGGACGGTCGTGGGATTGTGGGTTCAAGCCTCATTTCAGACGTTGAGCTGGTTGGCACTCCACTATGTTGCTGGGGAGATTCACTGTCAGGTAGCCCTTAGCACTCCCAGTCTGGCTATGCAGTAATACTCGGAACAAGTGGAGGATACTTGAAGTCCTGCAGTGTAGTGCTTCGCGCACTCGCCTTGCAAGCGAGAGGACCTGCGATCAATTCCCGGCTGGGGCAAAATTTTCTTACGTTACACGCCTCTGTTTACCTAGCATTAAGTAGGAACCCGGTTGTTAGTTGATTGGCGGATCGCTTTCCGGCGGTAATAATCCCTCCCCCCAAAAAAAACATTTGGTCGCTTAATCCACAACTGTTTGTGCAACACTGCCGGGTGCAATTGGCTGCCGCGTTTCACCCACAAAACAGTGAAGCCACTTTACAGTATATTCTGTGAAAGCGCTTTGAGACTTCTGAACGACGTGATAAGGCGCTAAATGAAATGCAACAATTTTATTATCATTATGTGTTCTGAGTGGCAGCGCTGAGTGAAGAGCTTTATATAAACACAAGTTTTTGTTGACGTGTCCTTGGTGCATTTCTTTTGCTGCAGGTGCGGTTACTTGGAGTCGTGTCCAAAGGGCAGCCCACGCTGGTGGTTATGGAGCTGATGACACACGGGGATCTGAAGAGCTATTTGCGTTCGCTCCGCCCTGATGCCGAGGTAAGGTGATGGGGTTGGGGGCGAACCTACAGCTGTGACGGGGACTCCAGGTCCTCTCGCCCGAGTGACGTCAGCTTCTCAGGCAGAGGGCCAGGCGCTGACGTGATGATGCTATTACGGGTCTTAACTCCACGACACATCTGTTTTTGGTTTTAAGATCTGTAGCTGGTCACATTACCAGTCTATATATGCTCCCGAGTTCCCTTTACCCTAGTTCCCCATCATGTTTCTATGCCGTTCCACCAGGTGTTTTACTCCATTCTTCCTTCTAATGGGGTACAGTTTCCCAGCGCCCTCACTAAATTCCCCCGAGATTAGGATAATCCTATATTTATGGATATATGAATGAGAGAGAAGTTATCACAGTCATTTCCAATCCTGTCCGCATCCAGAATTAACAGTGTTAATGTGTTGTTGCTATCCAGGTTGTTTGTGGATAACAAACTGGAGTGGAGTCTTGGCTGTTTTTTTTTGTCTGGATGAAAGGTGGGAACATTTGAGGTTGGAAAACGTCTCCTGGGTCAGACTGCCCGGCTGGCCCGTTTCCTGCTCTTCAAAGAAAATTTACGGAGTGTTTGGCTGTTTTGCAGAATAACCCGGGCCGCCCCCCGCCCACCCTGAAAGAGATGGTACAGATGGCAGCCGAGATCGCAGACGGAATGGCCTACCTGAACGCCAAGAAGTTTGTTCACCGAGACCTGGCGGCTCGTAACTGCATGGTGGGCGAGGATTACACTGTGAAGATCGGAGGTAGGAATTCACCGGGTTATGGGTTTGCACAATGTAAGGATGGGAGAGGTAGTGGTGGGGGTGGGGGGTGGGGGAGAGGAAAAGACAGTGTCATCATTGAGTGGGTAAACCAGACTAGGTGGGTTGATACATTTTATGATTGAATGTGCCTGACGGAACGTTTAGCGTAGAACGTGCTGCGTATAAACAACAACAGCAACTTCCATTTATATCACCCCTTCACCTTCCTATTTCCACGGGAGGAGTTAATGGAGCTCGTGGTCGGGTGAATCGTGTGGGATTTGTTAATAACCCACCACTAACGATTCAACTTCCCCACGTGAATTGAATCTGTGTCACGTTTCTGTAGCGTGCGGTTGTTGAGTCCTGTCCTCAGTTGGATGTCCTTTTTTTTCGAAAACAAACCAGACTTTGGGATGACACGAGACATATACGAAACCGACTACTATCGTAAAGGTGGCAAAGGGCTGCTCCCTGTACGATGGATGGCGCCAGAATCCCTGAAGGATGGAGTGTTCACCACGTACTCTGATGTTTGGTGAGTCGGTCTGAGATTTGCAAAGCAACCCGGTCGGTCGGAAGCCCTTCTCTTTGCAACGCCACACTTCCCCTCTTCAAAACCACCTTTAAAAATTTGAGCTCTACATTCAAACTCTTTCCCCTCCCTCCATCACTTGCTCCTTTGCTCTCTCACTCACTCTCTCCCACCATCCTCCCTTCCTCCCTTCTCCACACCTCTTTCTTCTTCCCCAGTCACTGATTCCCCCATCACCATTGGTAAGTCCTTTGACAAATTCACCCTACGGTGGAGTCAGCAAAGCAAACGGTAAACCGCTCAAGATGTTTCGACCTGTTTTGACGGTCTACCTGTTGCTTGTTCCTTTCTGCTGTCAGGTCGTTCGGAGTTGTTCTGTGGGAGATCAGTATGTTAGCGGAACAGCCATATCAGGGACTGTCCAACGAACAGGTCCTGAAGTTCGTCATGGAAGGAGGGTTTTTGGATCGTCTGGAAAGCTGTCCTGAAAGATTGTAAGTACAGCTTTGTTTCATCCCTGTATTAGCAGCCACATTCACCGTTGGCAAAGGGGTTGACAACACAAAATTGCCACTAAATTGGCAACCTCACGTACAGGCGGCTGGTATAGGGAATGCAACGTTGGTACGATGTGTGTGGTGGGTGGTGGGGGAATGCAAACGCACTCTACTGTTGTATTGCTGCAGAAGAAATTACATTTGTATAGCGCCTTTCACGCCAGGAGGACGTCCCAAGGCACTGTCAGGGATCCGCATTCGAGCTGGTGGTTGGGATCAGGAGGGTGAGGGCAGGAGGGTGATCGAAGGCACAGTCGAAGAGGAGGGTCTTGGGACAGGTCTTGAAGGAGGCCAGGGAGGGGGCGAGGCGGAGGGACTGCATGAATACAAGTGTGAAACGGCAGCCGAACGTTAGCTGAGTCGAATTTCTCCCGATGATTCCTGGCGGAAACTCAACTCCTTCCCTGTCTCGCCTCAGACACAGCCTGATGGAGATGTGCTGGCAGTACAACCCCAAAGCCCGGCCGGCCTTCGTGGACATCATCGAGATGCTTAAGGACGATCTCCACCCCAGTTTCCGCGACCTGTCCTTCTTCTACAGCGAGAGCAACAAGCCTCCAGACACAGAGGAGTACGACATGGATTTTGAGAACATGGAAAGCATTCCCCTCGACCCCTCTTACTCACAGACTGAAGCCCCTCTCGGGCACAGCCGGGACAATGGGCCCACCGCGGCCCTCCGAGGGAATTACGACGAACACATACCCTACACGCACATGAACGGTGGGAAGAAAAACGGACGCATCTTGTCCTTGCCGAGATCAAGTCCTTCATAGCGGTTTCTTTCTACCTCCTGTCGTACGTTTCTCATTTCTCGTTTTGTTAGGCCCTCACAATCTCAGGACTCTTTTCTTTTTCTCTCTCTCTGTAGCTGCTTTACAAGGGAAACAAGGGCCTTGTATTTGCAAACGAAAGAAAGAAAGAAAAAAAGAAAGAAAGACAAACGTATTTTTTTCCGCCAAGTGGCTAGTTGTACATGTACGAAACTGTGAAGAAACCAAGGAAAAGAAAAAACACACACACATATAAATATATATAAATATATATATATACATAATATATACATGGGCGTACGTACAAGGCGTACAAAGTAAATCAGAGACTCATTTCCAAGGCTGCTATTGTAGCTGTGGTTCCCAGAGATGAGAGAGAAGCAACCTAATGGGACTTTTCATGTAATGGAGTGTTTTAGGCTAAAAGATTTTGGGGGGAAAATACACCATCTGCAATCCTAAACTTAACGTTGAGTTCCTCCTCCTGATACGTGAACTCTATAAACAAATGGTGGGAATTTTTTTAGGACAGAAAAAAAGCCACACACACACACACAACGTTAACTGAATGTTCTGTCAAATTCCAACCAACGCTTAAACACTGATGTCCTGTTTTTTTCAACAAAAAAAGAAAGACAAATCACGGCTGAGAGACATTTAAAGACAGGTTGGATTACAGTTCCTCAGACCAGAAGCTGCTGCTTTCTCTTTTTGTGGGTTCCGATTTTTTTTAAAAAGAAAAAAATTCCTGTGCGTCGATATTTTTGTACATAATAATTCATGTTTTTTTTTCCCCCTTCCTCGTAAGGTCTTTGCAATAATGAAGTCAGTTCCTAAGGGCCAACCAGTCATCCAAAGAAGCTGTATTTATTATTCATAATAAGCGGGCTGCCATATTACAGAAAGGAAACTAATGTCTTTCTCGATTTAGATGATTTGTCGGGAGGAGAAACAGTTAAGGACAAATCAATAAACAGGATAAGGTTGGGTAAAGGCAAAAGCTCTTTAGTGGCCCTTTGGGGTCAGAAAGGTGCTTCTTAAAGCTGTGACTTAAAACGGAGAGTAAAGGTGGTTGATAGTTTAAACAAAAAGTTATTTTGTGACTTATAGGTTCAGGCAGGAGCAGAACATCGATCCATCCAATGGCTCAATCCGAGTGGGTCTTAAACCTTTGTTTGTAACGCGGTTAAGTTGAGGATTGTAGCTAAGGTGGAGGAAGAATATGTTGTTGTCAAGCGTTAGTTTGTTGGAGTTTGGTTGGTGAGGTTTCAATTTTTTTTATGACTGTGGAGGTGCGGTATTGGGAGGAGAGAGAGGGTGGAATCGAGAAGATTCACAGCATTTGGCCTCATTCCAGAGTTCTTGATTAAACAGCAAAACAAACTACAAGCAACGTAGGCAGAAGCTTTGGTATGTCCCAGTCAGTCAACGGATTTCCTATTGTCTTAGGTTTGGCGGTGATGGGAGATAGAGGGGGATGAGGAGAGGCAGAGATGCTGAAAAGGATATGAACCAACCAGTGGAAGTCAAGATAACTATTGCTGTGAAATGCAAGTCTGTGGCTTGTCAGCAAAAAGAGAACTTGGGGAGTTTTATGATCCTTGACAGGGGAGGGGAGGGGAGGAGAGGGGAAGGAAGAGATTGGTTATAACCTTGTGCATGTGTATAAGGTTGTTAACTTTGGAAACACACATAAGAACTGTTGCGTACAATACAATACTTACCGAGGCTCTTCTGATCACTATTGAGAGTCCTTAGGAGAGATTTTTACTGAATATTTGTATGCGTCTTGCCATGTTAAGTTACACAGAGCTGCAGCCTGGTGTTGATAACCAATGGTGGGCTTGAGACTACAGATTGGAGAATACTGCTTCGAACACTCACTCTCCTGGGTTAGGCTGATAAGGAAGAAAAGCCACTTTGACCGTGTAGATGTTACTAAGCAAAATAAAAAGCCCAGCTTTAGAGCGAGATGCATACAAGCAACCTTCGGAGGGATAGGATGGGAGGAAGGGAGAAGTTGATGCTTTTAATGTAGACGAGAAAGATGCAGGTGCCATATTTCATACATATTAATATCGTGCTTTATCTGATAACTGAGCTCCACTGGTAGTAATGTGAATGAATCCCCCTCTCACGCTTCATTCAAGCACACTCTGGGTGTCATTATTGTGCCACTAACATAGAACGGAGGTAGTCCTGGGGGCTTGGGCACACTTCTGTGAAAGAACAGTGCCAGAAGGGTGGGTGTTTTGCACACTGTGCTGTGTCAGCTTGGCTGAATTGGTTGGCGGTGTGAGAATGTGCCCAGCTATCAGATGAATTGGAAGTTGATTTTATCAGGTTAACAAGTGCGGCTCAGTGGTTTGGCCAAGTTTCTCTCACTCTGAGGCACTTTGTGACGATATCCGCTCATCTCCTCTCTCTTTCTCCCCCCCCCCGCCTACCCCCGGCTGATCTGAACATGTCCTGTATGTTTGATTACGAACCCCTTTCCCCGCAGACACTAAAGCTTCTGTTGAACCATTTTGGTTGTGATTCATTTTCTCTCTGAAAGCATTCAGGTTTGCTTGGGATGTTCGATTAGATTTCATTCTAAATCGTGTGTAAGAACAGTCCTAATGAGTGCAGCCCAAGCAAAGGCTTTCCAACGAACTGATTTAGCTTGTGCCAAGCTTAGCAGAGTGTGTGTGTGTGTGTGCGCAAGAGAGATCCCATGGAACTGAGCTGCGGTTTAGATCTTGAGGATGGAAGGGAAGAGGAGAGCACAGAGCAGTGGAGAGAAATGGCAAGGAACTTATGCATTATGCTGCCTTCTGGAGAATTGTTTAGAAAGGGGTGCTTGATAGAGGTCATGGTTAATGTTGTCTGAGAAAAGGTTAATCTTATTAAACAGATTTGCTTTATTGTACATAGTGTAAAATTAACAATAGGGTGCCTAGATTCTTCTTTATACAAACCGAGAAGCCAAGTGAACGTTCTTTACTCTAAATACGCAAATGGACACTCTACACTACAGGCAAGAGAGAAATCTCACACTTTTTTTGTAATTCTGAAGATTTTCTTATATTGAAGAAATTAATATTTTATTTATTTTTATTAATATTATAGAAATCACTGTAAAGAATCCCAATTTGCAGTCAACACAGGAACGAGTAGCGTATTGGAAGATAGATTATTGTTGGCAATGAGTTTTTAAAAAAATAAATAAGGCGATGGAGGTGGAGTGATATTAATTTTTCTGGCACAGTCTACCTCAGTGCTTCTTTCAGATTAGTAAACAGCCGCATCTTATGATAATTAATTCTGTTTTCGTTTTTTTTAACAAAAAACAAACGCATACATTTTCAATTCTCTTTGAGGAGTGACTGGGAACTTGGTGTTTGTCCCCAATACTATACTCAGCATTACAGTGCACCCCCAAACCATTTTGGTGCCTTTGGCCATATAGATAGAGGGGAAGATCTTTAATTACTTAAAGCCTCGGAAGATTAAGCCGGCAGTGAGGCCAAGGAGAGTTGCTCGGTTTCCCAATCGAGAGAGTGAGAAGTTGCAAAACTTTTTCTTTTGCTTTTCTTAAAAACTTCTTTCACGTAAGCCACATGTAAGCTGTTTCCTCTCCATATCCTGAAATAGTTGAATGGACTGTGAACACATTGGGATTGGGATGGCTGACTTAGTTGCTCCTGGTGATTACAAGGCTCTGTTAAGACCACAGAGTAGCGGGAACGTTGGAGGTCAACAAAAGAACCCTTTTGTCTCGTTCTAATGTAGTATTGGCAAGGACCACTCTTCCAGTCACTCCTTACTCCTCAGTCCGTGCTGTGGGCTTGACAATTCAATTGAGGGAGGGGGAGCGTTCTTGTGAGCAGGCAGTCGGTGCACACTGTGTGTGTGTTTTGTGTTTGTGTGTACATTTACACACAAACACACACACGTACAATACAATAGGAAAACACCTGGCCAAATATTACAGCATTGGCTGTTTGTGTGTATGTGAGACTTGCTCCCAAACTCTTTCTTTGTTCCTCTTCAAAAGCTGCTAGGTTTTTGAGTTGCTGCTGTGCGCCCTTGCTCAAGTTATACTTTCCCAGTCACGGGGACTTGTTCAGTTTATAGACAGATACGTTTGGTTAAGAAACTCACCCAGTTACTTACAGCTTGTGAATCCTCCACTTGTCTTTTTTATATAGCGCTGTTGAAATTGGGTTTAACAGGATGTCCGTCCCCTTCCCCCTTTATCTCTTTCTCTGTCCCCTTTCTCCCACACTGTCCCTCCCTTTATTAGTGATATGGTTTAGAAAACAGTGGATCATTGGATAGGAATTATTTGATTAATCAAGCTGTCACCCGCAAACAAACTTAGAAATCATCAACATCCAGGGCCGAGAGAGGTGAAATCTACAGCGTATAGAATTAATAACCTAGGAGGTGATGGTACAGGAACAGGCAAAAGTCCAGTCAAAAATACCACCGATATCCTAAGCACCCAGTTTTCAGTCTGTTAAAAGAGATTAAAAATGTGCTGTTAGCAGAACAACAGCAGTCTCGTAACTCTCATCATTATCATTCGATTTTTCACTGCTCAAACGTCAAAAAGAGGTGAATGTAACATGTCTATATTGTGAACCACCTCAATGGATTTCATAGAAAGAACTATTTATAAACTGTTGAAAGTTGAATATTTGTCCAGATCACAAGGACTTTCTTCCTTATTATTACACCACCCCCCCACCCCCAACACACCACCCCCGACCCTGCATTTTGGTGATTGTACAGCATTTAGCAGTCCGCATATGGTAGAAATCAGAAAAGGTGAATATTTTGTGTAGGATAGCAGGACTCAGCCATTCCTCGCTCTGGGCCTACCCAACCCCTTGAACAAGTTCCTTAGACGTTACCTGGAGTTATGGGTGTAGGTGAAATGCTATATTGTCAGGGGTGTGTGTCTTATACAGACTAGGAGAGCCGTGATGATTTTTATTTTTCAGAGGAGTGGGAAAAGCTTGGTGTTTTCTAAACAAAGTAATATATGCAATTCAGAAACTGATGGATCTGCAGTGAGTCTTGGCGTAACTGCGGCTGTCTTTTTTGCAAACCATTTGCAATCTCTCGTGTAAGAGAAAATCAACTCTACAGAATTTTGTGCACAATTTATTTTTGCATTTTGAAACCGATTGGTTGGGTTGTGTGGGTGGGTGGGTGGGGTAGAGGATGGAGGGAGGGGGAAACTAAACTGTACATATTAATACTCACTGCTGTTCAAAGCAGTCGCCTCAAAGCTATTTCTGTTTTTATCTGAAAAGATGAGCAGGTTTGTGTCAATGTGTAAAAAACCACAAACGAGTGTTGATTTTAAAAGAGTTAGAAAAAAACTATGTTGGCTTACGGCATGTAAATATGTCTCATGTAAATGGAATAGCGTGTTTTGTGAGCGGATAATGAGGTATGGTCGTGCGTGGAGGGGAGGGCGAAGGGGCGCAGAGAGTGAGAGGGAGACGCTGTGTATTCTGTGGCACGGATGCGTCAACTGTTTTCTTACTTGTTGGTTAAGTGTTAACCTGGCGACACAAAGACATTAATGTATTCCTGAAATCCTAACCCTCCCCTCCTCCCAGATTCAGTGCATTTTGTTTTTATTTTGGAAAACTGGAACTATGTACATTACCCAGATGTCTATTAAAGAAAAAAGAAAGAAAAGCTATTCCCTTTGTGTGCCAGGTAGAAGGAAGCTCTTTGCAAGAGAATGCGGTGGATTGACTCACTGAACAGACTCAACGATGTCCATCTTTGGGTGGGTGGGTGGGGGTGGGATGGTGAGTGTGGGGGAGATGGGGGTTTGTGTGGCAGAGACTGTTCAGAACAAGATTTGCTGAGGATTTTTTACCACTGCATCCGGCCTTGGTTTCTCCCATCTTCATATCCAGCTGTGAGATCTCCCGACTGCTTTGGAAAGTTGATGTGATGCTGAACTTTTGGTAACAAAGCATTGCCTGTGGGAAGTGGAGATCGAGGACGGACAACTCTGCTGTAGCTCCAACTGTCTTGCATAACCAAACCCATACCCTCCCTTCATCCTGCCCACCTCTCTCTCCCCAGTCCTCTCCCCCTCCCCACCTCGCCCCACACGCCAATGATTGAAACACATCTTAAACTGGGAGCGTAAGGGGAGTTGTTGAACCTGGACTTAACAGCAGTTGCTGCGGACTGAACATCAGGGCTGGAAAATCTTTTTTTTTTGGTGGGTGGGTGGTGGGAGGGGGGAAGAGTGCGTTTTTTAAGTCAACGGGAGATTTAATCTTTTGGGGGGATAAAATGCTAAATTTTGAGTCGGTTGTTAATACTGTGCTTGGCTTGTTGTTACTGTAGTAAAAGAAAAAAAATGCAAAACTTGATTCTCAAAGGGATTCCCTTCCCTGCCTATGTCTGGCATGAATGACGATAACCAAGAAGGCAGTGTGTGAATGTGGGGTACATATTGACTGCACGCACACCAGCCTGCTCTCCACACACCTCATCATCATCATCATCATCAAGTGATAGCCCCTTAAAAAAAAATCAACCCACGACTGTTGGTGGGGGACACTGCTGTGCACGATTGGCTGCCGCCTTTCGCCCACAAAACATACAGCCGATTCACTTTACGGTGTGTCCTGTGAAGAGCTTCGAGACGTCTCGAAAACGTGATATCAAATGCAAGGATTATTGTTATGATCATTAAGTGCACGCGGGACCACACACACTGTATAACAGCTTTGTGACGTCTCAACGACGTGATAAAGCGTTATATCAAACGCAAGGATTAGTATTATTACGTTTCTCTCCAGCATGAGACAACGTGTGACGATGTGTTGCACGGAAACTGAAAGGAGGAAGTTTTGTTGTGTCTATCTCCCTCGATATTAAGCTGCTTTTCTCCTTTAAGTAGTGATCAGTAACTAGGGCATGTCTTCAAAAAAAAAGGCTGACATGTTAATACAGTAAAACTCGACCCTGGCTTAACTTGTCACGACCACTTAAGTCACCGTGCTGTCAATATCCTGGCTGCATTTACATACAGTATTTATGTGTTTATACATGAGGTGAACTCACCACTCTAGATAACTCATCACTGACTCCTTTCTTTTGAAGTGATGAGTTATCAGAAGTTTCGTTTTTACTGTGGCGCTGGCTCTTGGCTACAATAACCCCAGAATGGGGAGAAACCCCATCGTCCACTGTAAAATGACTGACGAACGACAGTGAAATATCTACAAGCGTGTCACGGGTAATTACTATCTAGTTTAGTGACTGTCTTGTCTTTAGGCACATACAGCAACCATTTGCATCCTGCGAGGTCCCACAATCTGTCATTAATGGCAGGATTGTTGACCAAAACACGAGGGAGAAAACTACCTTTTCCTTTCCAGTAGCATCACGGGATCTTGGTACCCGTCCTCGAACAGGCAGATTGGCCTTGGGTCAACGTCACATAGGAGTTTCAGGCTCTGACGTGGGTTCCTTTAACCTACAGCTTTCGCTGAGGAGTGTCAAGCTGCCCACCCCACCTCCCCAGGCTCTTAAAGGAGAGTTGGAGCTAAATGTTCACATCAGCTTCCTGTTGGTTGGTTCTCATACGACCAGAGAAAAGACAATTTCCTGTCTCACGGTGGGGGGGAGGGGGTTATCTTGGGGTGAAAGGCTCAGAACCTCCACCTGTTTCCATCTTCCTCTTCTTCAGTCCCCTCTGCCCCCCTCCTCTCCCCCCTCAACTACCCTGTGCTCCCCTCTCCCTCTGCCTCAGCACAAAACTTCCAAAGCAATATTAATCTGGAGCCACTCTTGAATTTTAAACTGAAAGTAAACACAAGGTGACATTTTTATATATGAATTATATATATGTGTATATATATATGAATAGCAATTGGCTGCTGCGTTTTTCCCCCACAAGATATACAGTCAATTCACTTTACAATCTATTCTGTGAAGCGCTTTCAGACGTCTCAATGACGTGATAAGGCGCTACATCGAATGCAAGGATTATTATTGTTATTAATAAATTAGCCACAACATTCACTTCCTTGTGAATTCATCTGATTTTTGCGAAAGTGCTTGGGAGATACTTATTCTGCGTGAAGTTCAGAGATGGGTGGGAGGGATGGTGAGACGGAGGGATAACACAAAAGGTTGCGTTGTTACAGTGCCCCTCACGAAGGGTCGTGTTCCAGGGTGCTTGAACAGAGGCAGCGAGTTCCAGAGATTAGGGGTGGAATGATTGAAGCCTCAGTTCCCCCTTGGTGGAGCAATAGGACGACAAGCAGTGGGGACTCGAATGCAAGTGATTGCTATGACTAACCTCAGTGAACGCTTTGTTTCGGTGTTTTTAATATGGATTTCCCCAGCCCAGCTGTCCTTCCTTCTTTGAAAAGTCTGGTGGGGGCCAGACCCTCCGGGAATCACAGTCTCTCCTTATTACTATCACCGCGAGTGCCTCTGCTTTCAATTCCTGAAACGTTTATGTTTACAATAAATCTTATTTCACGTCTGCTCATCACTCCTCTGTGGGAACACAGGACCACTGGGCACCTGCCATCCTTAAGAGCACTGGGACGTAACCATGATTTGCGCACAGCGAAGAGCCGCAAACAGTCGTGGTATGAGTGAGTGACCAATTTTATTGGGTGGGGGGGGAGGGGGAATTGTTGGCCAGGACACAGGAAGAGCAAGAAAAACTCCATTCTCCTTTCCAATTGCGCTGTGGGAGATCTTTTAACATCCAATCCCACTTGAAAACCTACCTCGTTGACCACACGTGCAATCACCCACCCCTTCTCCCTTGTTTGCTGTCCAACCTCAACACTGTGAAGTCCTCTGAAATGGCATCCTATGTGAAGTGTGGAGTCCTGTAGCTCAGTGGTTAGAGCACTCACTTTGCAAGTGAGAGACCCGAGTTCAATTCCAGGCAGAGGGCGAAACCTCGGGCAAGTTTCCTTACTCAACACAGAGCCTAATAATAAACCCTCCAAAACCAAAAACAATAATAAATTGGTCATTTTCAATCTACGACTGTTTGTGGGACATTGCTGTGCGCAATTGGCTGCCGCGTTCGCCCACAAATATGCAGTCAATTCACTTTACAGTGTGTTCTGTGAAGTGCTTTGGGACGTCCTCCCGACCTGAAAAGCGCTATATCAAATGCAAGGATTATTATTATTATTAATGTAAGGCCGCTATATAAATACAACCTGAAAAGCCAGCAGCTGGTTGGTGCTGTGGGTTATATGCGGTCTTTCCACCCCTTGCACCTGGCATCCCAGACAGACTATATGGAAGCCTCCTCTGTGTGGTTGGTGTGAGCATCCCTGTGTGAGGTTTGGGATAGGGTCAGTGTGGGATTCTCTGCTAAACTGCTCTGAATTCGACCCTAAAATACCAAGAAGAAGAATCCTTGCAATTGATAACGTCTCACAATGTCTCAAAAGAGGTTTGTGAGTCATTGCTCTCAAGTGCAATGGGCAGCCAGTTTTTGCACAGCTAACGTCCACCAACAATTTATCAATGGGTTTATTGGCCACAACACAGCAAGAAACTCCCTTCACTTCGGAGAAACTCTGGTTTCCCAATTTTGTCACAGGATCATTATCTGAAGGACAGTGCAGAAGTGTGTTGCTCAGTGCAGAAACGGGCAGTGACTTCAACTTGGATGGGGAAGCATTTGTTTGAAGAACATTGAGTGAGATCGAAAGTGAAGGAGCTTTAGATGGGACTGGTGGGGCGGAGAGCGAGAGAACAGACTATGAGGAATGCTCAAAAATAGAACAAACAGTCTTGAGAAACTCATTTTGTCCTGTTCAAAGGGACAAGCACCACAATCAAACCAGATTTACGTCAGGATTGACTCCAATTGCTAATACAGGCAAAACTCAACACCAGCTCGGCCTCACGCACTCGCTGGGATTTCTTACACCAACTACGGAGTGGATAAGGGCTGAAGAACATCCTCTCACTTCATCTATCGGACACCAAAATATCATCCAGACTTTCTTTCTCTCATATTCCTCAGGTGAATTGTTTTCAAAATATCTAATCTATTTAATCTTTTGTTGGTTTCTATCTATTTTATTGATGTAAGTCTACACATTTGTCTGCAACTCTCCTTTTGGTGCAACATTCACCCAGAATGTGTTTTAAGATTCTCTTCGCAATAATTGCTGTATTTGACATGGAGCAAGTGACCAATTTTATTTGGGGTATTGTCGGCCAGGACACCCGGGAGAGAGAAAACCCCTTTCTCTTTCCGAATGGTTCAATGGGATCTTTAACGTCCACCTGCACAGATAGATAGGACCTTGGTTTAACTTCTCATCCAAAGGAAGTACTGTAGTCAATGTCCTTGAAACGCAGTGTAGAGAAGAAGTGGAATAATAATAATAACAATAATAATCCTTCCATTTTGATATAGTGCCTTATCAGGTCTTCGAGAAGTCTCAAAGCGCTTCACAGAATATACTGTCAAGTGAATCGACTGTATATTTTGTGGGCGAAATGCGGCAGCCAATTGCGCACAGCAGCGTCTCACAAACAGTCGTGGGTTGAGTGACCAAATTATTATTATTTTTTTGGGAAGGGATTATTGCTGCTGGAAAAGAGATCCGCCATTCGACTAACAACCAGGTTCCTACTCGCTGCTAAGTAAACAGAGGTGTGAGGAGTAAGGAAACTTGCCTAATGTTTTGTCCCGCCTGGGAATCGAACCCCAGGTCCTCTCGCTTGCGAGACGAGTGCTCTAACCACTAAGCTACGGGAAGGAGAGATGAGACAGATAGACAGGAACCAAACGACTTGTGGGATTGCATGTTGCTCACCGTCACGTCGGGAGTGAGTGCAGCCCAGACCGTTAGCCTGAACCAGTCAGCAGGAAGCAATGTGCAGTGATCTCGAGCTTCTTGTTATTCTCCGCCAGCGCTTACACTTGACTCCCTCGAGCTGTGGAAATGTGATGCAAACACTCCTCCGACCACAGCTTCCTCGTAGCTGTCACACGGGTCACGTGGCATGAAGTGCCCCTTCCTGCAGCGAATGTTTGTGTTTCAAACCGTAAAAGCCAACTGATTCACCTGGCAATGGTGGGTCAGGCTCGAGGGATGTGACTGCAGTCTGGCTCGGGAGGTGTAGGGAAGGATGGAAGGTAAAGTGCAAACTTGGTCCATCAAGAACCTGGTATCTTTCTCTCTCTTTCTCTCTCTCTCTGTGCCGATGGGCTTGAAACTTGTCGAGCTCAGCTCGTTGATTTGCGAGACTTGTCTCTTGAGCGATTGAGACGGTTCATCTCGACCACGACGGGAGGGGGAGGGGGAAGGGGCTGTTTCGTTTACCTACGGTTTTGCTTCATCTTCTGTCAGGTTTTGGCTCTCATCTCTCTCTTTCTCTCTCCGAGGGTTCCATTTCTTTGTTGACAGAACCTCTTTGTCTGTTTCCCTCGTTATACAAAAAAAGTACCATCCGCAGGATGGTCTGATTGATCTTTTGCGGACTCTTCTGCCTTATTTTTTGAAAGAAAAAGAAAGTTACAAATGTGAAAGCTTTTTTTTTGCTTCTAATGACGTACAGGGGAGGGAGATTTTGGATGCAGATGAATTAACATCAGCAGAAAAGTGAGAGACGATCTTTTCAGTGAATGTTATGTCTCACACTCTGTGTGCGTGCGGGCTTGTCTGAGAGTTGTATAATTTCTGTGCAATTTATACAAGACTTTGATTAGGCTGTAGTTGGATTATTACAACTATTCGATTCCTGGGCAGGACGAAACCTTAGGCAAGTTTCCTTGCTCAACAACAACAACTTGCATTTATATAGCCCCCCCCACTCACTCTGGGTAGCATCCCAGAGCGCTTAAGCAATTACTCCACACGCATCGTATTTACCTATTAGTAAGTAAGAACCCAGGTGTTAGTCGATCGGTGGATCGCTTTCCGGAGGTAATAATCCCTTCAAAAACAATAATAATAATAATTTGGTCATTCAATCCATGACTGTTGTGAGACACTGCTGGGCAAAAGTTACAAGATGGAGTCTAATCGAGGGATTCAGGTGGTTTCTATATTGTTTAGTTGACTGGATTATATGTAGAATAACATGTTTCTGAGTGGGCCTTTATTCAGATGAATGTTGCTAAACCGCAGAGCCAAATCTGCAGAAATTGAGCGGTTTTGTAACCGTTGCTTTGCTATCACGACACTGACTGGCTGTAAATCACTTTGTGGTGCTTGTTGCATTTTTTTAAAACGTTTTAAATCAGACCGGTGTTGCATCAGTGAGTGTTTGATGCCTGTGGTATCACCATGTCAGTTGTGGGCCCAGTTCTCCACCTAAGAATCAAAGCAAACAGGACCCCAATGTAAGACTGAGGGACGCAGGGTGGGGAACTCCCAGAATCTGTCCCCACTCTGTGTTCAATGGGAGTAGCAGTGATGACTACAACTGGATTAAAGGGGGTTCCTGCTTTCTGATTTCTATCCAAAGCCTCCCTCTGCCCTTGGGAGGTGCGTGTGTGTGGACATTAAGGAGGACCAGAGCTGGGATTGACCCCACTATCACCACACCAACATCAAATAATAATTATAAATTGCTCACTCAATCCACGACTGTTTGTGGGACGCTGCTGTGCACAATTGGCTGCCATGTTTCGCCCACAAAATATACGGTCAATCCACTTTACAGCATATTATGTGAAGTGCTTTGAGACGGTCTAGAAGACGTGAAAAGCGCTATATCAAATGCAAAGATTATTAATAGTATTATTTGGGTGGAGACCAGTGCTTTATCAATGAGATTGAGCTCATCCCCCATGAAACCATCTCACAGAAATTAATGTCAAGCGCAGTGACTGTTTTTTTATGGGTAAGTGTGTTTGGCAACAATTGTCACACACCTGGCCATGAGGTGAAAGATCAATTAAACCTGGGGGTATCATTGGCCAGGACATCGGGAGAAACTCCCTTCTCTTTTCGAATAGCGCCGTGGGATCTTAAACATCCACCCGAACAGGCAGATGGGACCTCGGTTTAACATCTCGTCCGAAGGACGGCACCTCAGACAATGCAACACCCACCCCCAGCGCTGCATTGGAACGTCAGCTTAGACTGTGTGATTCCAAGTCATAATGTGGCATTTGAACCCGCAATCTTCAGTCTCAGAGGCGAAAATGCTAACACACTGAGTCAGGCTGACACACAACAATCCCCTCTTTAGGCTGACAGATTGCCAGTTGCTGAATTCGGGGCAGCTTTTGCACTCAGAAGTCAATACCCACTGGGAACCAGGAACTGTGTGGCCTGAAACTCTTTAGATACAGGAACTACAAGGCGAGCGACAACACAGAGAAGACTTTCCTCGTGTTGCATTAGGTATGTCCTTGAAATGAAAGGTCGGTGTGAGTAATTTCTTCTCCCACTTCATTCCACACCTCACCAGCCATCCCAATCCCCTTCCCTGATGCAGGAACGAGAGGGGGAGAGATTCAGAGAGAACACACAAAGCACTTATCAGTGTGTGAGGAGGAAACGTTGGCGGAAATGCCATGACTCAGCCTGTGGTTCCGTCACTATCACTCGAGCTGTCAGTGAGAGCAATCTCAACAGCAGCAAAATAAAATGGGGGATGGATGGAAAGGAGGGGAGGAAGGCCGGAGATATTTTGTTCACTTTCAGCCGCCGTGGAATTTTGTGATGTTCTGATGTTTGTGTTCTGATGTTCTGATCTTTCACCTTTTTCACAACTCACTCTTCCCCCAGATAACATTGGCCAATTACTTCATGTGCGTTCAGTGCTCTGAGATGTTTCCCCTGCCCGAGTGGAGGGAGGGGGGGGGGGGGTGGGGTGCGCTATATAAATGCAAGTTGATGTTGTTCGCGGGACATTGCTGTGCTTTGGTGCTGCCGCGTCCACCTACAAAATACACAGTCGCTCAGGATGGTTATATTCTTAACTCCCTCGAATGAAGAAGTTGATACCTGGGTTAATTATGTGAATAAGAGTCTATTTTGGCTGCTGCACCTTCTATACCTATTGCTCTGTGGGAAACACAACAGCTTCATGTGGGACACTGGTGACCGCCCCTTACCCACAAGGGCCACTTCTGCAATTGTGCTCGAGATCCAAAGATGCCTGTCACTGATTGTGTGTTCGCTGGCCACTAGTTGTGTGATCAATGGTCACATCTCTGTGTTCATCCTGTTTGTGTTTCATCCCCTCGTTAGAATCATAGCTATTTATTTCTCTTAACCTCTCTCTCTCTCTCTCTCTCTTGAGGTTTTTTTTTGGTTGAGGTAGAGTAGTGATTTTATATTTTTGCTCTCTAGTTACTGACTCCCAGGTCAGTGAATCAAACTCTCTGCTCATTAACCTCATCAAAGCTCCACTTCTGCTCTGGTCTCTTCTCATTCTTCTCTTTTCTGGTAAAACCAAACAGCAAGAATTTCTCCAATCTCTCCCCGACTTCTCTCATCACCAGAATTATTGAGTCTCTCTTGGGGAAGGGAAGGGGGAGGGAAAGGAGAAGGTTGGATAGGATGAAGGTATATGCTGCACTGTGGATTAATATCCCGGGATACAGTATGTAGTTTGGAACACGACATGACATGCAACTACCAGCGCTCTGAGACGCCGTCCGGAGTGGAGGGCACTATATAAGTCAAAGTTGTTGTTGTTGGTGTTGGTAGTAGTGGTAGGCAAACTGGATGGACCTTACAGTACAATCCAAAATTACATTTACACAGTGCCTTTCACGTTGGGAGGACTTCCCAAAGCGCTTGAACAGTCAGGCATTTGGCCCCGAGATGGGGTCTTCTTTTGCCTAGCAACTTCTTATGTTCTTATGTTTCCCACTGATTGGAAATGTGGTTCATACGATGAGTGGGTTCGATTGAAAGTAGCTCCTCTCCAGATTGTTGCTCAGTCCTTCGCTGCCTCTGGTTAGATTGACCTCCAATAATAATAATAATAATAATCCTTGCATTTGATGTAGCGCTTTTCACGTCGGGAGGACGTCCCAAAGCGCTTCACAGAACACACTGTAAAGTGAATTGACTGTATATTTGTGGGCGAACGCGGCAGCCAATTGCGCACAGCAATGTCCCACAAACAGTCGTAGATTGAAAATGACCAATTTGGAGGGATTATTATTAGGCTCTGTGTGGAGTAAGGACTCTTGCCCAAGGTTTCGCCCTCTGCCTGGAATTGAACTCAGGTCTCTCGCTTGCAAAGTGAGTGCTCTAACCACTGAGATACAGGACTCCAATCTAATCACGGGCAAGATACCGATCTTGTGGAAATCAGTTGCTAACCATACACTTCAGGGTGAGATGATATGAATCACTGGGTAGATGTCATGTGGTGTTTCGAAAGGATAAAGAGTTAAGAGACATTGAATGGGAGGTCTTGTCACTGAAGGCATGGAAACAAAGCTTTGATCCATTTGTCCTCCCATTATAATATCAAGGTGCTTCTTAGATAAGTCCAATGCCCTGCCCTGAAAAGGCGAATGGATGCAGTACCACAGTTAGGTCACCAGGGGTCCCTGATTGAATGGTTAAAAATGGCCTCTAGTGACATCTAGTCAGTCAAGGCGTAACTGCAGCCAACACTCGCATTTCGGATATAGATTTGTTCAAGATGAAGGATGTATATTCAAGATTTCTTTATGGCTTTGGGGTAAGTGCACCCCATGTGGTGGTAAACTGAGGCATAAACACACACACTCAACGGCAACAACAACAACTGGCATTCATAGAGCGCCCCTCACCCAGGGTAGCGTCTCAGAGCGCTTGACAGCGGTGGAGCACATCCATAGGTACAAACATACACCCATGTCTGGGTTACGCACACACAAACACATGCTACTTACACACATGCACCTACTTACACACACAGGTGCACCCGCAAGCACACTTAAAATACACACTCCCGCATACACATACATTTGCGGACAGACACAGACACACACTCATAGAGTCAGGTGGCTTGTGCTGAGACAAGTGCAAGCAGTTTCCCTGAGACCTCAGCATTTCCTTGGCTCGAACTCGAACTCCTGGCAAACAGTTAGAGTGTGACCGGCATTCCCCCCCCACACCCACCCCTTCTCTCTCCCCTCCCTCCCCACTCCAGAGAAACAGAGCGAGAGAAAGAGAGAGAGAGAGAGACGCTGGCACTGTTTGAAGATCAGACTGTTTCATTCTTCACCGACTCTCAGCGCACGAACCCTTCCAGCAACACAGCCCTGTCTTTCTACTGAAGCATTCCTAAAGTTTCCTTCTGAATGGCGGACTCTCCCCTCAATAACTCCTGGCCTTCCTTCCCCAAGTTTTGGACGAAACGTTGGTCATTCAAACGAGGTACCTTGTGTTCTCTTTTTAACTTAACCCAGTTTCCAGATTCTCCCACCTCTCTTTCTCTGCTTACTCCCGAAGTTTCCGATGTTTCCTTAATATGCTCTGCGTTTTAGTTTGCCTGTGTGCGTTTCATTTAATTATTTTTATTTCTGCGGGCCGGGTGGGGACACAGAGGTTTGTTCATTTTTTTTTCTCTTCTTCTTCTGCTTCTCCGGCTTATAATAATATGTTTGAAAATAGCCCTGGGTGGGGCAGCTGTGCTGGCAAATTGTCCACAGTGCTATTAGACACAAATGTGTTTTATAGGTGACTTATTGTCTTGCTAGCGAGAAAGGCGGATTTAATAATAATGATGATACCAATTACCTGCTCTGGAGGGTCAACCTGTACCTCGCATTCTCAATCCTGAGGTGGGCTTGCACTCATAACCCTGGGACCTCAGGTCGAGTGTGCACCAGCTTTTCCGGGAGTAATAATTCCTTCAAAATGATAATAATAATTTGGTCACTCAATCCACGGCTGTTTGTGGGACGCTACTGTTGCGCAATTGGCTGCCGTGTTTCGCCCACAAAATATGCGGTCAATTCATTTTGCAGTACGTTCTGTGAAGCGCTTTGAGACGTCTCGAAGACGTGATAAGCTGCCATTTCAAGTGCAAGGAGTTTAAGGATTATTATAGCTAATGGGAATCTTAAACTCTCTCCCCCAAAAGGCTGTTGATGCTGGATCCATTCACATTTTCAAGACTCAGGTGGATAGATTTTTGGTAGGTCAAGGTATGAAGGAATGCGGGGCAAAGGCGGGTAATTAGAGTTGTGGTACAGATCAGCCACGATCTAATAGAATGGTAGAACAGGCTTGAGGAGCTGAATGGCCTCTCCTTCCATGTTCCTCTGTAGCTGACCCAGGCTGACACCATTAATAGGCAAACAGCAGATACCCAAACCCTCACCTGCTCGTGATGTGATTCTTCAATTTCCATTGAGTTTGATTTATTGTCAGTTTCCTCATTCCTCCTCCCTCCACCCCTCATCCCTCATCTCCTGAAACCTTTCTTCCTTCTTCATGAGGTGAGTGAGAGGTGAGGAAGTCTCTCACTCAAGGGGCCACTATGTATGTGTGACCTTGAGCCAGTCAGTGTCGGTTGGGAAGGTGGTAGCACGATCTGTGAGTGCCTGCTGTGTGTCTGTGCCTTGGGTGGTCCTCCCGGCATGAAAGGCGCTATACAAATGCAATTTGTTGTTGTTGTTGTGCTGTGGACTGTGTATGCTGTATATGTGCCTGTGTGCTGTGTGTCTGCACTGTGTGTTGTGTATGCTGTATATCTGTGTCAGTCAGTCACAGATTGTTCCCAGGTCAGATACTGGGTCTCTATCTCTGGCCTTGCCTGGGTTTGGAGTTTCTCTCTTGGCATTGTTCTTTTCTCCTCAATAAAAATCTAAACGGAATAAAACTATTTCAGGACCTGAAGCCTAATTAATTCCTCCTCTAACCCAGAACAGAAGGTACTCTTTTCCCTTTCGCGAGAGATAGGGGTGAGGGACGACAGTGGAGGGAGAGAGGTGAGAGATGGTGACCTATGTTGCTGGCTTGATGCTGTTAACAAGGAGATGGTGTCTCCCTGCAGACCTGTGGCAGGAGGTTATGGTAGGGCTAGGACTTGAGGTCCTAATCCAACCTAATATACCAGAGCAATGCCTGGGGAGAGTTGCATAGACTGAATGAGATGTGTGCACTTTGGTTACCCTTCCCATCCCTCTGCCCTCCCCGAAACCAACCCCCAGCTCAGGTCCAAATCCCTGTCTGTCCAACACCTTGGGACGTCCTCGAGAAGTGAAAGGCACCCACACCCCACCTCCTTGCCCCATATCCCTTACAACAACAACAACAACAAGATTCCATTTATAGAGCGCCTTTCACGTCAGGAGGACGTCCCAAGGCGCTGCACAGTTGGGTCATAACCTGGTAATACCCTGACCTAACAAATATCTATCTACCTCCATCTTGAAAACCTGAATGGATCCAGCATCAGTAGCCTTTTGGGGGAGAGAGTTCGGGAGAGAGGGAGAAGACGTCACAGAATTGTTCCGTGTTGATATAAAAATATCGCCCTGGTGTTTGAGACTGACCGCATCACTCTAAAATGTGCCACAGCGTCTCACGTAATGAGTTGGCGCTAAAGTGTAGTGACTGATAAATCGGGAAATGAGGCCTTCACCAGGGATGTCCCATGCACATCGGTGGGACGAATGACCAATTCTTGTCTGATGGTGAGCAAGGGACCTACGTCGTGCTTCAAAGTCGTGTTCAACAGGAACTGGATTTAAAGTCAAACCGAGAGTGAGTGAGAGAGAACAGGAAAGAGAGACAGACAGACAGACAGACAGACACACACTCACACACACGGCCTTGGCTGAATTCAAACTCGCCACCCTGTGTCCTCAATCAAATTGAAATCAAAACTCTTTTGAAATCAACATCTCGAGCTCAAACTCAATCTTTCCAGGACCTCAAAGCAGTAGAACTTCGCTCCCTTGCTCTTCCCTTCCTCCTACTCTCTACAGGACCTCTCACCTCACTCACTCTACCCTTCCTCTTACAGGCCTCCTCTTCCTCCTAAGCCCAAGCTTAGCGTCACCATAGGACCACTTCCTGATTGACCTCACCATCTCCGTCTCTTACACCTCTCTCTCTCTCTCTCTCTTGCTTGGGGGTGGGTGGTGGGGAGAGGGTAAGGCAATGAGTTACTCGACTGATACAGTCACTTTGACAATACAGAGACCGAAGCAGTCGCCAAGTTCCTCACGGCTGTTAATCCTCCCTGGCGTTTCTCATGTAATTATTTACACAACTATTAAACAGCACTAGGCCAAGCCTCTAATTATAACCCACAAAGTGTTCCTGTTCAACTCCCAAACAATGTTCAACGTCTTGCAAAATCCATTTGCTCAGATCCCGGCCTCTCCTGGTACAGTAACTAAAACCGGGGTGATCTATATGTTCGCAAATTGCAATGTACAAATGATCAGCAAAGTATTTGTGGATTTGATGTAACATTGCCATCTTTTGCTGTGTGTTAACTGCATCCACCTGATGCCTTGGCCTGTTCTTCTGTTAGTTGGATTTGTTCACAAAATCCTGTTACCCTCATGTGTGTCTTTTTTACACACGGTGCACCGACCAACAACTGAAACAGGTGGAAGAATGATGATAATTGTATTCCGAAGAACTTCGTTGTATTCAGTGCAAGTGTTTAACTGTATTTGAGGATCGGTGAGTGTGCGAGTGTGTGCGAGTGTGTGTGAGTGTGTGAGCGCAATCATTTTCATGGCAGATAATGATCCGTTGCCATCCATCTCGTTCCCTCTCTCCTCCAGGAGTGAGGTGCAGAGAGAAAGTGAGTGAGACAATGCATTTGATTTTGTGGGTCATGATTACGTCACACTCCAAGGACAGTCAGACTATAAGCTTGAGCTCCGTCCCTTTGTAGGGGCTCGAACCCACAATCTCCTGATTCAGAAGCCAAAGTGGGACCAACTGAGCCATATGACAGCTCACTGTGACATCAAGACCATAGGGTGAGACTCTCAATGCTGTGATAATTAGTCCAAGGAACAGTCGTTTTGAAACACTGGCAAATTTCGCTCCAATATCGTTACTGAGCTAATCGGGTCTCGCTCAGTGCTCGATCCTGTGTGGGGCTGTTTACCACATCTCATCGCTGGGTTGGGCTGGGCTGGTGTTGAGGTGGGCTGGGCTGGTGTTGAGGTGGGCTGGGCTGGTGTTGAGGTGGGCTGGGCTGGTGTTGAGGTGGGCTGGGCTGGTGTTGAGGTGGGCTGGCTGGTGTTGAGGTGGGCTGGGCTGGTGTTGAGGTGGGCTGGGCTGGTGTTGAGGTGGGCTGGGCTGGTGTTGAGGTGGGCTGGGCTGGGCTGGGATTGTATCTTGTTCCTAGGCTTTGAAATCTCCCGGTTGCTATTATAAGGAGATCGGCAGAGGGTCTGTTTCTCTCAGCCGGGGATGGATTCTGTCAAACCTCGACTCTGTGAAATCTCACCATAAACAAACTTAGATTTTCCATCAGATCCATCTCCAGCTGATCTTATTAATAGAAGACGAGATATGCTTTTGAACGTGCCCGAGCCCTTTGTGATGCTGTGACTCCACATAGCGTTGTAACCCCTTCACTCTATCTCTCTCTTTCTCTCTTCAGTGTCCAACATAAAGAGCAGGCAGATGGGACCTCAGTTTAAATGTCTCATCCAAAGGCCATCTCTCTCTCTCTCTCTCTCTATCTCCCCCCCCACTGTATTGTGCTTGAGCGTCAGCCTGGGACTGTGAGCCCAAGAAGTGCTTTTGTACGAGAGTTATTTATTAGAACTTGGAAAGCGTTGTAAGTAGCTATTGAAGCCGAGTCAATTACGCCATTAAATAAACAATCGAAGAATGAAGTTATAAAAGGATTCAGGGGAAAGAGTAGGGACGTGAGGTTAGAGTAAATGGTTGGCGGGGGAGAGAGAGAGAGAGCAAGGGAGCACCAAAACAGACACAATGGGCTTCTCTTCCCCCCCCCCATCCTCCCCCCATAAATCCTGGACGCCACAATTACTGTATCTCAGTAAGGGGTGTGTAAGTGCAGTGCGAAGGCTAGCAGGGCTAGCATGTATGCAGGCTATGCCGGGCTAGCACGTATGCAAGTCTCACGCGGCAAGGCTGTATGTTGTCCGCACTCACTAAGAGGGAAGCACTTCTTTAGAGTAAGACAATAAAAGTTAATCAACATGGAGGCCGGTTGCTGTGTATTAAACAGAAGCTGTGAGCCGGACAGCTTCCTGCTGCTGTTATTCACTGTGCGGCGGCTCTGTTTACACCAGGCTCCTGTGATGTACGGCAGACACTGAGCACAGTAAACACACACACACACAACTCCTGCCCTCACTCTCACAAGCATACACTCACACACACACACACGCTCACACACACGACTGCTGCCCTCACCTTTCACACGCACGTAACACGCACTTGACCCCTCTCCTACCCTCACACACATACATACTGACACACATGCGCGACACCAAATTCCTACCCTTATATACACTCACACGCGCATAAACACGTATGACCTCCACCCTGCCCCACCCTCACACAGACACATGGGATCCACAATCCCATCATCTCACACACACACACACACACACACACACGCGCGCCCCCACCCCATGGAAACCGCCAGGCTGTGCCGCCTCCATCCCTCTCTCCTTTCTCTCCCGCAGATTGTAAGCCATGTCCTCGCGGGTTTTCCCAAGTGCCGGAGATGCCGAGCCCCACCCAGTGCGGGAATCCTGAAACCCGTTCGCACTCCCTGAGCGGGGTGGAGGAGATGTACTTCAGTCACATGGCGGAGGGCAAGGCAGGTATCGGCTCAATAAACCGCTCGGAGAGAGACGGTCCCCCAAAAAAAACACACAGTCACCCCACTTGACAGTACACCCTGTGAAGCGCTTCGAGACGTCTCAACGGCATGACGAGGCGCTACATCAAATGCAAGGATTATTATTGTTATCACCTCTCTCGCCTCTTCGCAGGACGACACTTTTCTTGACGGTGACGACTCGGCGACAGACGTGAGCAGCAGTGTGGAGGACATCCCCTTCTTAGACTCATCCATCCAGGGCTTGTCTGGCTTCTCCCTGGACCCCCAGAGCCAGGGAGCCAGCAGTTCGGAAGACATCACCGCTTCCAGGCCACCAGATCGAGCTGGTACACATACACACACATACCCCGGTGCTTTGCCAGTCACCATGGAAGCAGATGACTCTTGGCCACAACGAGATGCCGACGGGTGTAATGACACTGACCCCCCTGCCGACGAGCGCCCCGGAAGCTCATGGGATACGGACAACGAGTTGGATGCCGAGAGCCAGGACATTGTGCCTCTCCTCATCCGCTCCATGTCCACCTCCAGACGCTACAGCTGGGAGGGGCCCTTATCTCCCTCGGCCATGGGGGGCATGAGACGACGGTGAGTAAAGATAGGCGAGGGGTGATTCCGGTTGGGAGGGAGGTTCGGGTCGCTGTAACATTGGCTGCCGCGTTTCGCCAGTAAAATACAGTCACTCCACTTTACAGTATATCCTGTGAAGCACTTTGAGACGTCCCAACAACGTGATGAGACGCTGTGTCAAATGCAAGGATTATTATTATTTATTATCAACGAGCTGCCCAAAACCTCCTGAAGAGCAACAATGATGATTTCCAGTGTTAGGAAATTGTCTACAGGATATGGGACAATGGCAGGTAATTGGAGTTGAGGTACAGATCAGCCATGATCTAATAGAATGGCGGAACAAGCTCGAGGGGCTGAATGGCCTCCTCTTGTTCCTCGAGGAGTGAGTTGGGAGAATTGCTTAGACAGGATTGTATCCTCTGCTCTGGAAGTAGATGGTGTGCGATGCTGATCTGATGTTCTCTGTGTCAGTGCAGCAAAAAATCCTACATAAGTACTATCTCTACCACCCTGCCCCCACCCCAGACCTCAAACCAACAACTAATAATAACCTGACCAGTCTCTCGTGTCCTGGCTCAGACCACAGGGCTCGCTGAAGGCTCAGTTACAGGGTAGAAAGTTTCTCTCGAGTATCTCTGACCTCAAGCATCTGGTGGAGTCCAATAGCGTAGTGGTTAGAGGATTTGCCTTGCAAGCGAGAGGACCTTGGGTTCAATTCCTGGATGGGGTATAACCTTAGGCAAGTTTCCTTACTCATTACACCTCTGTTTACCTAGCAGTAAGTAGGAACCTGGTTGTTAGTCGATTGGCGGACTGCTTTTCCGCGGGGTAATAATTCATTAAAAAAATTGGTCACTCAATCTGCAGCTGTTTGTGGGACAGTGCTGTGCTGAGTTGGCTGCCAGGTTTCACCCACAAAATTTACAGTCAATTTACTTTACAGTATATTCTGTGAAGCGCTTTGAGATGTCTCGAAGACATGATAAGACAGTGTATCAAATGCAAGGATTATTATTATTATTATTATCTTCCATCAGAGTTGGGTTCTTTGGGTAGACTCGTTTCCTCTTTGTGTGAGGTAACCTGGTTAGAACTCAGCCCACTGCTTCCTGACTTCTGTTCCCTAGCGGTGAGGACCTCAGATGGAAAAAAATGCCACTAGTTTTATCAGAGTGACTTCCAGGAACAAGTGGCAGTAATTGAGCAGAGTTACGGTTAGACAGTCAGTCACCGAATAGTTACAGGCAGTTGGACAGTCAATGTAAGGCACAAATAACAGCCAAATCTCGCTCCTACTGTCACAGATATCCGTATGCTCACTTTCTAAGGTGCAGAAGGTTGTGGGTTCAAGTTCCACGCTAGAACTTTGAGCTCACATTTGAAACCAACCCGGGATGCCATCCTTTGGAACAGAAGCTAAACCAAGGGGCGGATGTTAAAGATTCAATGAAACTATTGGGAAAGAGAAGGGAGTTTCTCCTGGTGTCCTGGGTAATCCTCTGGATAAATTTGATCATTTGCTTTGTGGCTGTTTGGTGGGAGACATTGCAATGTACAAAATATCAGTAATTACGTTGTGAAGGGCCTTTGAGACGTTTCAACGACATGATAAGACGCTGTATCAAATGCAAGAATTATTATTATTATTATTATTACACACTCTGGGAACTACTACAAAATGCTTTGGCATTTGGATGTTGTAGGAGCTCTAATAACGTGAGGGTTACTGTTATAGTTTTATTCTGAGTTGTTGATGTACAAGTTAATGTTGCTCTTGCGTCTCCCGTGCAGGTTAAGCCTGGATGTACTGGGTATAGACAGCGATGGTGAGGGGGACCAGGAGGACGAGGAACAGGATAACCTATCTCAAGACCAGGGGTCTTTTTCCTTCCCCGAGTTCAGGCCAGTGACGGAGGGAGAGGCTGACGGAGATGGGACGACGACACCTCCAGAGTCGATGGAAGATGAGCAGGTAACCTGGAGTAGCCCAGGCCTGTGACACTGACTAGCACCCATTCCCCCTCAGAGACAAATACAACAACTTGTGTTTATATAGCACCCTTCATGTAAGGTCACGTCTCAGAGCACTTCATTAATAACAATAATAACAATCCTGGCATTTGATATAACGCCTTATCGCATTGTTGAGACGTCCAAAGCGCTTCACGGACTATACTGCAAAGTGGATTGACCGTATATTTTGGGGGCGAAACGCGGCAGCCAATTCCGCACAGCAGCGTCACACAAACAGTCGTGGATTGAGTGACCGAATGAGTATTTTTTCACTAGGGCGGGGTTGGGCGCTGAGCTAGAGTGAGCAGGAGAGGAGGGGAAGAGGGAGGTGGCCATAGACACGTTTGAAGCGATAGGAATCGAGGCAGAACTTAAAAGCGGAAAGAGACGGAGGGATAGAGAGGGGGAGTTGCAGAGGTCAGGGGTGTAGGAACTGAAGGCACAGCTAATGATGGTGTATCCTGATTTCCTTTGATTGAGGAACAGTGTATGACAGCAACGGATGCCTGTACCTCTTTGAAAGTGGCGGAGATTTTGTCCCGGTGTCCAGGTTGACAATCCCCCAGATTTTTTTTTGACGCGAAAAAAAAGTCATTCACCTCTTTCCCGTTTGTGGGGCGAGGACGTGTGCAAACTGTTCCGCTGGGGGTTTGCCCACCAAAAAACAAGTCGCACGCTCGTGAATAAATCGGGCCAAGCGCTAGTCCAGCACGTTTCGACGACGAGATGAGGCGGTGGGAGGTGACCGTGAGCAGGGTCGAAGAGGAAGCTCTTCAGTCGTGACGATCGAAAAGAGGGGGTGGTGGCGGGGGAGGCGGGTGGGGGGTGGGGGTGGGGGGGGGGGGGGGGGCGAGGCGGAAATACTGATCCCAACCACCGGAGGGCAATGTGTCCAGTTGGGGATGAGATGGTTGTGACCTCTTGGTGGGTTGGAATAAGTGAGCGAGAGAGGGCGAGAGAGCGAGACAGACAGACGGACAGACAGACGGACAGAGCTACAATGTTATCACCTGTGCTGGAGCTCAGCTCCTGGATAGAGGTTCTAATTGACGACCTGTGGGGTTTGCGCTGAATATTGCCGCAATCGGGCGTCACGGGCTTGTGGCCGCCGTATAAAGCATTAATATTTTAAAACATATATATGTATATGTATATATATATATACGTATAAACAAGTTTCTTTTTATTTAAAAAAAAGGGATTCGATTGGAAAATATTGCCCGGCAAATGTTTAATCTTTTAGGGGACGGAAGGGGAGACCCTCTGATGCTATGCTCCTGTCATTGATTCCCCCCTCCGTCCCCTCCGTCCCTCCGCCCCGTCCCCAGAAAGCAGGTACAGAAGGACAAATCTGGCTGACGCTGTCCGTGATGTTAAACCGAGGCTCCCGTCGTGGGTACAGGCGGGCGTTAAAGATCCTGTGGTGTTATTTGGAAAAGGAGCTGGGACTTTATCCCGGCGTGTTGGCCGATATTCCTGCCTGGTCCCAAAAATTATCGGTGGCTTGTTTCCTTGCCGGGTGTGTGGGGGAGGGGGGCGGGCATGGCGGGTCCGGGGTTTGTGGGTTCAAGCCCTCTCGAGGGGACTTGAGCCGTCAGTCTAGGCTGACGCCCCAAGCGCAGCGCTGGAGGAATACCATGTAGTCAGAGGTGACGTCATTCACATCAGATGCTAAGAGATCCGGTGATACTATTGGAAGAGAGGAACGGGAGTTTCCCAGTGGTGTCCTGACCAACAATCCCAACCCCAGATAAACAGGTCATTGATCTCGTGGCTGTGCACTTGACTGCGATGAGGTGCTGCACACGGAAGGGACAATAACTTTGTGATGCGTGTGCTCACCCCACCCCCACCCACCCCTCCCACCCCCGTACCCTCGCTCACTGCCTGATCTGTATACCTGCCTCTTCCCACTAGGATCAGGAACACGGCGCGATGCACCTGCGGACTGAGACGGTCTTTACGAACGGGTCAAAGACAGCCCAGGGACGCTTCCCCCGGAAGGTGGCCTGTGTGCAGGTTGGGGCCACAGGTAAGTGCTTGTGCTCGGACCGTGTCTCCGTTTGGACTGGGTGAGCGAATGGCCTCATCCTGCTGTGAAAGCGGTGGCCTGAAGCTCCTTCCCGGTGCGTGTGTCTCAGTGTGGATTCTACTTTGAGTTGTATTTTTCCACCTCCTTCCATCCCCACAATGAGGTAACACTGTTGATCTCCCCAGAACCTGGTTTCTGTCTCACTCCACGCTCAAACTCTGGGGTCAGTCTCCGCTCCCGGAGCTCACAGACCCTGGGTATCCTTCAGCTCTGGGGGGCAGTGGAAAGGAGGGTGGAGTGAGGGAGTTCCTGTGCGTGTGAGTATGTGTTTGTGTATGGTGTGGGGGTCAAGTGCATGTGCCTCTGTTCTTTTTATCTGGAGCTCAGTGGCGGTGTCATCTCTAGATCGAGGGGCCGGTGGTGGGTGGGGGTGCGTGTGTGTGTGTGCTGGGGTTTAAGCTCTCAATGTGCCAGGGCTTGAGCTCCTAACCCAGGCTGAGAACCCACCCCACCCTCTCCTCGATCCAGAGGTTACACCACCACTGAGTTCCACTGGTGAAATATACCTGTTACTTTGTGTTGTGCGGACGGACGGTTTATCCTGTGGCAGCCCACAACCGATGGGTCTCGGAGAGAGAAACTCGCTTCTCGGCAAAACTCGCGTCAAAAGTCTGTGGCCGCCCGGTGTTTTTCCTTTCCTCTTCTTGTCCTTCCCCAGATTCTGGAATCGACAAGGATCCCCGGGCTGAGAAGGAAAACCTGGAGCCCAACCATTTGTACGTAGCTCCAGGAGTCCGTTACGCCCGTTAGTTAGCTCCGTGCGTTCAGATCGTTGACCCACTCGCTCTGTCCATTCCTCACTTCACCAGCAAAGTTTCACATCTTCGGCCAGTTCGACCTTACCTTGCTCCCTCCCTTGCCTCCTTCAAGGGCCGGCTCAAAACCCTCCTCCTTGACCGTGCCTACGGCTACCCTCCTACCCTTCCTGCCCTCCACCCTCCTTGAACCCGACCCCCACCCCCCACCCTAGCGCGGGTCCAAATCCATGACCGTCCAGGGCCTTGGGATGTCCTTCCGATGTGAAAGGCTCTGTACAAATATAATTTTGTATTGTATTCATCATCATCATCTGGGTAAAGAAATGTCTCCTGAAATTGGCCTTCACATCCCAGACCTGTGTCCGCTGCTCCTGATACCTCGGCGTATCTAAACGTATAATAAAATATACATTTACACAGCACCTTTCCTGTATGTGTCAAAGATCTTTAAGGTATTCATTTGGGTTTATGTTCACAATCCTGTTCAATCCCTCTATGAAGTCCCCTGTTTTAACGCCTTGTCTCTGGGAATCGGGTTGACACTGATGCTGATGGAATGATCTGTGATTTGCAACCGCAGAAAGAAGCCGTCCTTCCCGGTCCTCACCCCGATCCCAATTCCTTCCTCCGGTTGCCTCCCTCTGTGTGCACCTCCCTCCATAACCCGAGCTCTCACAGGCACGCCTTCCCAACTCTGAATTCATCAACTCGAATTCCCGAACCAAACCTCTCGAGGACACAGAGCTTTTCCATCTCTTCCACTCGATGCTCCTCAGTCACACAACTATTAAAGTCGATTGGAGGCCGACCCGCAGTCACCTACCCCTCCCCTTCCCCAGCTCGGAGTCGCGCTCCGCTACTATCAAGCGCTCTGGGACGCAACCCTGGGTGAGGGGCGCTGTATAAATGCAAGTTGCTGTTGTTATGGAGCGCTAGTCTGGGCTGTAACCTTCTCCCCTTTGTGTTCCAGGTTGGTGCAGCAGGTGCTGCAGGAATTGAAAGCCTTTCATGGGTTAGTCTTGATCTTACTCCATCCAGCGTTTGGTTTATGGGTTCCCAGAGACAAAACATTTAGGATCCCTGAGGTGGATGATGCCATGACCCATGTCTAAGGCGCTATGCGTTATACCCCTCCTCTCTTCTCTTCACCCTAACCCCCAACCCCCCGCCCCCAACCCCTCACAACTACAGATTCCTTCCTGCCCAGGTAGCTCCTGTTATCAAACAATAAAACACACATTCATCACTAATTTGATACCCACCTTTTCCCCTGTCTCTTGTCTTCATAGCCAGCCCTGCCCAGCACCTTGCCCAGTGAAGAGCAGGTGAGGAGGTTCAATGAATCCGTCTACATCTTTCCCCCACCCAAGCTGCTTTCTGAGTCTGTCTCCTCTCCTTCTCCCCAACCCCTGCCCCCACTCCCGCCCAGCTTGCTTGCTCTCTGGTTCTCCCTCTCCCTGCTGATTATCTCTCTGCCTGCTCGCTCGCCTCAGTTGAAAACGCTGTGCAGTCTCTTAAAATGGTGCTTTTTAACACGGCTCCTTCAAGGGCTCGGGCGTTGTACCCGGCTCACAGCAGAGTGAGTCCCTGTGTGCTTCTCCGTGGTAACGTGGATCACTTCATCCACCGTGCTTCCCTCTTCTCTCTCCTTCCCGCCCCCCCCCCCCCCCCCCACCCGCAGTGACCTGTCTCCTGTCTGACCGCAGCTCAGCCGCTGGATTCTTCGTGCCTCTGCCCGTCTCTGTTTTTTCTGCCCTCTCTCGTGCTCTCTCTCTCCCTCTCTCTCACACTGTTTCTCTTTCCCCGCAGTGCGAGAGCGGCGGCAGCTTGCTTGCCAGAAGGGAGCCCGAGCCCCACCTCCGCCCACAACCTGACCTGGATGGAGTTCTTGGCAGAGTAAGTACCAGCCGGGCGTCTTGACACACCCGGAAACCCACCACCGTTGCTTAAGAGGCTCCAAACCAACCTCAAATTTCCCTGCGTCCCACCTACACCCAGAGCTAGATTGTTGGAATGGAATTCGCTGAAACTCTCTCTCCCCAGAGGGACGCATTCCTGCTTGCCTAATTTCGGGAAAAGTATTAGGCGCAGGTTGGTTCAAAAGAGACTCAGACCTCTGTTTGTGTGCCCTCCTTTGAGGGGAGGGTGAGGTGGGGAGGGGAGGTAAGCACTTTCTCCTTGGAGCTTAACTGGCTCCAAAGTGACGTGTTTGGCAAGAGCCAAGGCTTGACGACACTCCTTTGCCAAACATGTCACGTCTGCTTTAAAATCATCACGGTTTCAGTCCTTTCAGGCAGGGAGGCGTGGGTGGGCTGGAAATATCACTGCCAGGGACGAGTCTGCTAACTGAGAGATAAGCCTCTATTGAAGTCCAAACCTCCAGTTATTTGCTTGTTTGCACAAAGCAAGTGTTTGCACCCAACACGACCATTTGGATGTTTTCGGTGGTTCTGAGGCCCTGCGGGATGTTTGACATCCTCTGTCTCCCCTTCAGCCAAGATGTCCAGTCAAGGCATCGCAACTTATGAGGGAGGGAAACGCAGTTAAAACTTCGCTCGCTCAGACAGTGGAGGGTTTAAAACTCTGATGTTGTTGTTTTTTTTACAGAAAGGAGGAGGGCAACAAGAGTGAGCGGCCTGAGCGTGGGACAAAAGTGAAGAGGACCTTGAGTTCCCTCAAGAACAGGATGACGGGCTCCTTCAAAGATAAGGTGTGCACACGTTGTGAAATTAAAAATACTCCGAAACATTGCTCCGTCTGAAATTTGGTGGTTTTCCGACTCCTCCTCACCCAAACCCGAACGGGGGCGGGCGGGGGGGGGGTTCCATTTTAATATAATAAAACCAATAATAATCCTTACATTTAATGTAGTTCACGTTCAGGAGGACGTTACAAAGTGCTTCACGGGATTCACTGTAAAGCGGAGTGAGTGACCGTGTGTTTCGCGAATCAACGTTTTTGTTTTGTTTTCTCCCTCTGCCTCTCTACAGGGTAAGAGCAAAGACAGAGAAAGGGAGAAAGAGAGTCCAAAAGAGAAGAGGAAATCTAACAGTGGTCACGAATTGATGCCAGGCACTTTCTCCAGCTTAACCAATTGCACCGTGTGCTCAAAGCCCCTGACCAGCAGAAACGGTTATCAGTGTGTGAGTGAGTATCGCTGTCACTTGGCTTCCACGCTCGCTTTAGACTGACCATCACTCTCCACACAACCCCTTCCCCACCCACCTCTGTCTCTAACCCCCTCCCCCTCCCACTCCCCCATCCCCCCCCCCCACTTGCATCACCACTCCTGGCTGGGTTTATCTGACCAAATTCAGAGCGTAAATCTCAAGTGACGAGGGTTAAATACATTGGAAGTGAAAAAAAAGGCTCATAAATAACTGGATTTTCCTTCCCCATAAGTTGCGATGTCTTGACTGGATCGAGGAGGTTAAGTGTCTCCTCTCGTCCCCTCAGTTTTTCCGTTGGATCTCTTTGACCTCGGGATCCAGATTGAGAGTGGGAAACCCAGGGTGACGTATTTGACATTGGCATAATCGGAAAACCTTGTCACTTGATCTTTAACCGTCAGGGTCTCGCTCCACAGAATTCTGAGCCCGCTTGAAGGAGCGTAGTTGCATTTTTGCTGCTTTTACACACGTGTTCCTGTGCATGCGTGTGCACGTGTGTGTGTGTATGTGTGCGTGCGTGCGCAAGTGCTCGCCAAGCTGTGCAAGGCAAAAGGGGTTGCAAGGAGGGAGGGAGCTTTGAGCTGAATGAACTGATGCCTCAAGGCTTCTGGGCTGAACGCAGAGTCTTATGTCAGGTCTAGGCTGGGGTGGGGGCAAAGGCCTGGGGTCGCGGGTTAGCCGAGTGGCCCTTTGTATTGGCTTCTGCAGAGTCAAACGGAATGATTAGTGATTGTTGTGACCCAGGCCTGTGGTTGTCACTCGTCCCCGAGCATCCAAGCACGCATCTGGAGCACACCGTCCCCGCACGTTCCCTGCATGTGCGCTCCACACATGTGCTGTGTTACCGACTGTACGTACGTTCCAAGCTGGCTCCCGATACAGCACCACCCCTCACCCCCCCACCACCTCCTCGCTCACGCATGTGCTCAGTTATACCCTTTCCTGCTGGTGTTTGGTGGGGGGGGCGTCGTGTGGGATGGTACCACATCCTGTACCAGCCTCGATCAGCGTTACTTTGGGAGCTCATTTGTCAAGGTTATTTTGAGCTATTTACAATGCGCAGCCAGGTCTCTGTCTGTTAATGAAATACCTGGAGTTTTATACGCTGTGGTAATGTTTACATCTATGCTTCTTTTGATCTCTCTCTGCTCTCTTTCCCCCTCTCTCCTTCTAGGTGGGTGTGGGGTAGAGGAAAGGGGTGTGTGTGTGTGTTGGGTGGGGGTAAAGATAAGTAGTGTCTTCCCTGGGCTTCAACAGGCAGCTCCGCAGTACATCCAGGACCTTGTTAACAGTTGCCCAGCCTGTCTGGCTCAGCAGTGTAGACAAGTCCTCAACTGTACGAGCCAAAGCCCTGACAGGTCATTCACTGGACAAGTCTTGAGGCTCGTGTGCAAAGAGTGCAGTAGGCTTTTCTCAAGAAGTCACAAATCATGATCAAATAGAAGCTGAGACCTTTTACAGAGAAGCAGACTCTTACTTCCCCACCACATCCCCCTCCCCACCGCCGCCAACCCACTGGCGCTCTCTAACTCCCATCCTCTCTTCCCTCCTATCGTGCTTTCTTGCTCGCACTTTAATCCCATTCCCCGCTGATGTAACTTCTCCATGCATTTAACTCTAATCCGAACTGGGGTTTATCAGATCCGTGTAGTAAATCATTCCCTCTGTACAAAAACATTTCCTTCCAATCTCTCTTTATCTTATCCCCCCCCCACACACACCCACACACATGCGCGCATACACCCTTTCTCCTCTTGGTGCTAAAGCTTAGTTTGTGCACCCTTGTTACTAAGTCATAGTTCAGCGGAAATAATCTCTGTCCACTTCAAATCTACGTGTAGACCCCTCCGCCCACCCACCCTGCACCTGCTTCCCCACTTGAAAGGAGTGGGGAAAGGAAATCTATTTCATAGCTTTCCCCTCCCTCCCTCTTCCCCCCCACCACTACCCCCATTCCCGAGACCTGTAACTTCTCCAGAGAACAGTTTATCCACCGCTTCAAAATCTTCAGAGAAAAAACGGTGAGAGACAGAAGGCAGGCATGGGCAATCCATCATCATGGCTCTGTGGAAAAACAGTTAAATCTCCTCTTGCATGTGACGCACGATTAAACAACGGGCTCTGATGTATGGTCCCCAAAGGTGGGGGTCTGAGCTTGGGATTTCGACAACACTAAACGCTACAATTTACGTTTTTATTTTTCCCCCGTCCCTTCCCTAGCCCCCCCAACCCCCCCGCCCGCCTGCCCCTAAGCCCCTCCGTGGTCTAAAGCTAAGTGGTTTCCAGTGTGAGATTAATGATTCTTGTGACATTTATTATTTGTCAAGTTTCCTTTTGTTCTGTGGAGGATAAACCCCCCTGAGCCGGGCGTGGGAGGGGGGGGGGGGGGGGGGTGGGAAATGAAATCCTCTGGGTTCCACTATCGGACTTCCAGGCTTCTTTCCTCTTCCCCCCACCCCACCCACCCACCCACTCCTGATGCCTGACCCTCAAATGACCAAGATCACCTTCTGAATATCCAATAAGTGTGCGAAAATGAGCACTTTTTAATGAACGTAAAGTACACCTTGTTTGGGGGGAAAGAAATCCAATTGACAAAGGTGAAACCAAGGCCCTGGGTGTCAGTGTGTGTAGCTCTGTGTGCTGTAAATCTCAGGTGAATGTACAGTGTTTCTCTTCAGGCTGGCCTCAGGTGGTCTTTATCAGCCTGGGGTCTGTCCTTGTTCACTGCTGTAACTTTATTAGGTTCTCTTGTGTGTCTGCTCTGCAGCCCGTGTCCTCTCCCGCTCCAAACTCTGTGACCCCATCTCCCCCACTCTCGCCCGACTCCACTGGCTCCCTATCCTTCAGAGGATCCAGTTCAAGATCCTAGTCCTCACATACAAAGCCCTCCATGGCCTCGCCCCACCATACCTCTGCAACTTTCTAACCCCCTATCAACCCACCCAATCCCTCCGCTCAGCTGGCTCTGGCCTGCTTGCTCACGTCCCCCGACCCACCCGCTCCACCATTGGCGGGAGAGCCTTCAGCCACTCTGCCCCCAACCTCTGGAATTCCATCCCCCAGTCGCTCCGCCTCGCCCCCTCCTCAGCCTCCTTCAAGTCCCGCCTCAAGACCCTCCTCTTCGACCATGCCATCGGCCACCCCCCTTCCCCTCCCCTCCCTTCTCCCCCTGACCCCAGCTCGGGTCTGAAATGCTGTACTCTGTCCAGCGCCTTGGGACGTCCTCCCGACGTGAAAGGCACTATACAAATGTAATCTTGTTGTTGTTGTTGATCTGTACATGGGTTGCTGCTCTGGGACGCTCCCCTGGGTGAGGGGCACTATACAAATGCAAGTTGTTGTTGTTGCTTGTCGTCTGCACACGTGTTTATGCCTTGTGCTAGTGGGTGTGTCTGGGCGTGTTTATATCATGCACTCTGTATGCGTGTCTGTTACCATGTACTGTTAGTCGTGTACGGCCGTATTGATACCGTGTGCTAGTAGGTGTGCACAGGCATGTTGTTATCATGTACTTGGTGTGTACGTACATGCTTATCCCATGTGCTAGTGGGTGTGTACAGGCGTGATTGTACCATGTACTTGGCGTGTATGTCAGCAGAGACATGGACTTTGCACGGCTTTGCCTCCCCCTGATGGACTTGGGTGGTAATGTTTTCGTTCACCTTCATCCTTTGTGGAGAGTGAGAGCATTGGGCGTGGGGTGTAGTTTGAACGAAGAGGGTATTTACCTCTGTCCATCAGCAGAGCTCGGTCTGGTGAAAATTCTGCCAAATTTGCAAGAACCCAGTGCGGGGTGAGGGGGGAAGAGTTGCTATGATCCGGAATGCACTACCTGAATGGGTAGTGGAAGTGGACTCAATAGTAGGTTTCAAAAGGGAATGGGATAGGTACTTGAAAAGAAACAAATTGCAGGGCTATGAGGAAAAAGCGAGGGTTTTGGGACTAGTTGGTAGCACTTTCAAAGAGCCGGCACTGGCACGATGGGCTGAAAGGCCTCCTTCTGTGCTGCAAGATTCTAGTATTCTATGATAAGAGCTTCCCCGTTAAATAATCTGCTGTGTGTGTGTGTGTGTGTGTGGAATGTTGTCTTGCGCAGATTTTATGTAAATACTCCCAGACAATGTTGCCGGATTGGGTGTGTTTCACACCCAAATGAGTGCGTGTTTTTTTGCGGTACGTGGAGCGCTTCACAGGGTATACTGTAAAGTGAAATTGACTGACCATACAAAACCAACACTATATATATTCACGTTAAGAGTAAAAACTTCTGATTCACCCCTTAGCTGTAGAAAATTGGGCCAGTTTTTTGGGGGCGAGCTGGTTGGACTTTGGGCTACATTTCTGGGGCTGGTCGGTCGGTTTGGACTTTGGGCTACATTTCTGGGGCTGGTCGGTCGGTTTGGACTTTGGGCTATGTTTTGGTGTGGGGGGGGAGGGGGGCGAGCTAATGGGACTTTGGGCTACGTTTCTGACCAGTTTGTTTGGACTTTGGGCTACTTTTCTGGGCCAGTTGGTTTGGACTTTGGGCTACTTTTCTGGGCCAGTTGGTTTGGACTTTGGACTACTTTTCTGGGCCAGTTGGTTTGGACTTTGGACTACTTTTCTGGGCCAGTCGGTTTGGACTTTGGGCTACTTTTCTGGGCCAGTTGGTTTGGACTTTGGGCTACTTTTCTGGGCCAGTTGGTTTGGACTTTGGACTACTTTTCTGGGCCAGTTGGTTTGGACTTTGGGCTACTTTTCTGGGCCAGTTGGTTTGGACTTTGGGCTACTTTTCTGGGCCAGTTGGTTTGGACTTTGGGCTACTTTTCTGGGCCAGTCGGTTTGGACTTTGGGCTGTGTTTTTGGTGTGTGTGGGTGTGTGTGTGTGTGTGGGGGGGGGTGGGGGTGGGGGGGGGGGCGAGCTAATGGGACATCGGGCTACTTTTTGGGCTCGTCGGGTTGGAATTTGGGCTATAAAACGCGGCGCGTGCGCAT